TTTCGGAAAGGTCATTCTAACAGACTGTTGTAATCATCATGCTATGTAGTTACCTAGGCGTCTAATAAGCATTTTAAAATAAGTATTCAAACAAAAAAAAATCGTGATTTTTTAAATTTATTTAAAACTATTTTAGATTAGTACAAAAAAATGGTTTATAAAGTAATGAGATACCGTGGGATTAATATGCGCATACTGGTAGCATAGCGTTTTAAATAAATACCGCTAAATTTTTGTTTCGAGTCGCACTTTACTTTGTCAGTACTCAGTACTGGTAAATGTTAATAATTTTTTCGCTCCTGGCATATGGCTTCAAACAGTTAGTTTATGGTAGTTGCAGTCGCGTATGTTTTGGTTGAAATTTGCCATATTTCCAAACTCCTTGGACAAAACAATTATTTTACATGTTTTTTCAGTGTCAATAATCATGTATGTAGTGTTTGTGACAACGTGGCCTAAAACGGTATCGGCAGAGTTATCTCCCTTGATTATGATATAAGCTACCTAGTCTTTCGTTTGTAGTTTAGCGCGCAATTCATTTGTCGCCTGAATTATACCTCCTCCTGCTTAGGGAAGCGTAGTTTTATTTTAGGTTAATATAAGGAACTGTGTATACTTTAATGATTGTTAGCAATTTCTGAGCGGGGGGGGGGGGGTGAGCATTTCATGCGGGGGGGGGGGATGCCTCCTCGCGCCCCTCTGTAGATACGGGCCCGACACGCAGTCGTCGCTTCAGGAACATGTAAAAAGGGTGACTGTTGTAATTATTCGTTTCCCGCACTTCTAGGGTATATTTTTAGAAGTCGATTTAGAGGAGGTCCGAGGACACAGTCAATATAAAAGGTTGAAAGTGCTATTTTAATAAGGAAAATGATCATTAAAACACGCAGAAGCTCACCAAATACAGACAATGTTTTAAAAAATAAAAATATCAATTTTTCCACGATTGCCTTTCCATCCAGACCGTTGCCGCACGAGCCCCAATATGTTTTCCGATTATCTATATCAACCCCGGATTTCCAAATCGTTTGTTCAGTTTATGATTTGTTTAGCACGTGTCCTGTATATTGAGTGGCTCAATGGTTAACGCGTGCGTGTTGGAGCAGAAGGTCTGTCATTGAGTCAAGTGCGTGGTTTGGATTCTCCGCTTGTACGTGACAAGGAATACGATCGCATATCCATCCTTGTGGGTTTCCCTCGGGTTTTCCCGTATCCTCTAAGACCCCTTCGTGCAAGCTAATTATAGAAATAAAATTGAAGCATATGTTAGTCCCGAAATGACCTAGTTTGTGTCGAGTGGACGTTAAACCCCATTTTTCTCTTTTTTATAAAATTGAGGTGCTATGAGGATAATTTTACCCGGGCAGCGGAGCTACGTTCTGCTCTTATTTCAATTTTACCCCGGCAGCGACGCTACGGCCTTCTTTTTATTTTGTCAAGGGATCTTTTACACTGACGCTAAAGTGTACTGGGGACCTCGGTTTTCATCCCATCCACACGACTAGATGCGATGGTTATTGAAGATTATTTAATTTGATCAAACGTTTCTTGTTTATATGGGGGGTTGGTGCGTGCTGTATCATAAGGCCTGCCATTGAGTCAACTAGCGTGGTTTCGAATCCCCGGTTGTACGTGACAAGGAGTAGGGTCGCCTGTCCAACCTCGTGGGTTTTCTCCGGGTCCTCCGGTTTCCACCCACTGCTAAATGCCCCTGTCACCCCTACGCGCAAGCGAATTATTGAAATAAAGTTGAACCATGTGTTAGTCCCGAAATGTCCTAGTTTGTGTCGAGTGGACGTTAAACCCCATTTCTCCCTCTCTCTCTCTCTTTCTCTCTCTTTCTCTCTCTCTCTCTCTTTCTCTCTCTTTCTCTCTCTCTCTCTCTCTCTCTCTCTCTCTCTCTCTCTCTCTCTCTTTCTCTCTCTCTTCTTGTTTATTGTTTGCAATGGCTGCGTATTTATTTGTGTATGGTGTGATCCACCTGTACTTACTATTTGGAACTGTTTTTAACGTTTGATCTACATATTGGCGCAAGCGTCAGCCCATAATGCCATATAGATAAGATAGTATATATAAAACTTCCTTTTGTCATGGTCTAGTAGTAATAAGAGGGGTCAAAGGTCGAATTTATAGCCGCAACATACAAGTAGGCGTTTCTCACGTTTGCCAAGGAAGTTCAGGTTTACTGGTCATATTGGCTTATGAATAATTGGGTCGTCATTAACATATTGAGAGCGGAGTCGCCTGTTCCTTGTTTGTGAAACCTGTGATTTATTTGTTTATTTGTTTATTTATTTATTTGTTTGTTTACTTCAAGTTGTCATCATGCCGCTAATGGATGCTAAAGCCAGGGAAAGTATGTATACGTTATATTCACTGTATATTTGTCGCGTGCAAGTTTTTCCCAGGACCCTAGCTGTATATAGACGGTGTTTATTTTATTCTTCCTGGTCTAACAAAAGTTTTAAAAGGTTTACTTCGATATTTATTTACACGGTATTATAGCGCTGTAAAAACAGCTGTGGGTAATAGGGGGCGGGGGACACAAGTTATACCCCCACCATATCCCCCATTCTGCGCGATAGGGCGTGTCATGCACATATCTCTGGAAAAAAACAAAAACAAAACGGGATTTTGGAAACGGGGGATCACGGTCCCACTTTTGAGTCTATACAGTCCTGGTTGAATCTAAATGGATGAATATTATTATACAGCTATGTTAATGGAGAATTTGTTTTCTCATCAACTTCTATAAGCGATGTTGACCTAAATTATACCAGCCTGCGATAGTATAGTCTATTGATAAACATCACAAATATCAACAGTTATTATGAATCATTTGAGTAGGAAATACACCAACTATAAGCATGGTGACTCGATACATATAAATTGTAAAATAGGAATGATATAATTAAATGTCGATACATATAAATTGTAAAATAGAGATGATATAATTAAATTCTAATAGATTGTAATTTACTCAGTAATCCGTCAATTCACGCATTGTTTCTATATCAATATCAAGTTGATCACTATACATGGCATCAATAATATCGAGAAAATACTCAGTTACTAGTATATATTTTTGTTATATGAAATGGACTTTAACATTTAACACTCAAACCTACTTTTCTGCACCAACCGGGTTAATGAAGACGTGTATAGTATAGTATACGCCTAAGATGTTTCTATGAAGGATAGGTGTTTCCACCTTTCATCGAATTCCAACCGTGAATGGAAGATGGAATTTCCTTATGACTTAATCAAGCAACTGCATCAGGCATTCGCAAGTTTTTATGGAAAAATATCGTGGTGACGCTTAAATGGAGAAATATATTCAATTCGGTTCATTAGGTCCGTTATGCACGCTTATTTACTTCGACATATTTTAAACGCGCCTAGCGAAAATAACAGGACCGATCATACCCCACCCACCCCACCCTAACGATATCATTATTAGGGTTGTGTGCTCCCACCTGATCTTGAAGATGATACAAAATCAGGGATCACCCACCCCTACTATGCCTGCAATCTGTTTCTCATACGTTCACTTGTACATGTATTTCCCAGCATAAACCATGTAAAATAGGCCTGAGGGTATATCGCATACGGAAGTTAATTATCACATCAACAAAATATTAAATCGGTATCAATCAATATGGATATATGACAAGGTCTACATCAAACTGATCGCTCGGTAAATATTCGTTCGGCCGCTAAAAACACCATGGAAATAGTACCAATATACATTTATTATTCGGGGGGGGGGGGGTTGGATGGCCGAATGGTTAGCACGTGCGTGCTGTATCATAAAGTCTGTCATTGGGTCAACTGGTGTGGTTTCGAATCCCCGGTTGTACGTGACAAGGAGTAGGGTCGCCTGTCCAACCTCGTGGGTTTTCTCCGGGTCCTCCGGTTTCCTCCCACTGCTAAAGACCCCTACGCGCAAGCGAATTATTGAAATAAAATTAAACCATATGTTAGTCCCGAAATGACCTAGTTTGTGTCGAGTGGACGTTAAACCCCATTTCTCTCTCTCATTTATTATTCGTTACAGATTACAACAACCTCAAAACATTTAAACATACAATATGTAAGATTTAGATAAAGAGCTGTCCGTTTTTGCTATAATAGTTCAAAAATAGATAATGCAAAATGAAAATATTGAAAATTTCATTATTCTGAGGGAAGTTATCACTGTTTAAGGCATTAATATGACGTGTCATATATTGTTTATTATCGTAGTAACGGTAACTGGATTCATTTTTAAATTAAATCATTAAATGGCCACCACGTTTCAATCCATTTTAATCTGTGCCAGCTGATGTCCTAGAGAGTAGATTATAGGCTTGTCATGTGAATAAATGTCTAAATGATAATTTATATAACGTTTGAAGCCAGAAGAAAGGTCTGTGATATGCAGATTTAGTACGTATACACGATATATAAATGAATTATTTTAAAGTATAGTTGAGGCAAACTTATATCGCTGTTACAGATGGTAAAACAAATTAATACTCCCAAACATAAAATGAGAAAAGTTCCCATATTATGGTTTTATAAAAGAGGTTATTTCCCCTATTTCCCCGATGTTCCGTGTATGCGTTGACAGTTTGAATTCGAAATATGAGCAGGCCTTAGTGCTACTGTCTGGGCAAAATTCCCCTCATAGCACACTGCATGGCACATGCCCGTCATCAATTGCCCGGTTTATTTCTTTTATTTTTAAAATCGAATGCTATATTATTAAATTTGGTTGTTGATATTTTTGCGTATTTGCATCCATAAAAGATACCAGAGTTATTTGTTGACCATCCTATTTTAAATTATCTTTAGAATGGATTATTTCACATTTGTTTTTCTTTAATGTAAAGGTCGTCTTTCATTTCTTATTGAGTTCATGTTTGGAATTTGCATGTTTGAAACGAAAAAAGACGCCACTGATTAATAAATTGAACTAGTTCATGTCGTGCTCCAAATATTAGATGGAACCGGAGGTTCTACATTGTGTAATTTTTACTTCCGGTTGTAGTGAGGGTGTGAAAAAAGTTTTGCATTCCACCGAAAACGTGATAACAACCGTGTATTACCACGTCAAATTAATTATCGATAATACTGATTGATTGATTAATCATTATGTCTAAAAATACAGGTGCTAATCGATTTAGGAAGGTGAATGTTGACCAGTACGACGAGGATCGGTTTCAAGAAGATGACAACGATGACTCAGAACAAGGACCGAATGAAAGTGAAGTCCAGAGCCTACTTACACAATATCCTTTTCATACAATATTTAAATAGTTTTAGATAAAATATAATTCCTAAATTACGTAAAAATTATATAAATGTAAGATAATGGAGGCGGGGGATACAGCAGAATTTGGTTTGAGACTCTTAATAGTAAGGGCGAGTCGAATTGAGAGGGTGGGCGTCATTAAGGGGAGTGGGGTAGCGGTGGGCTCCGTGTCATTAGGGGGAGTGGGGTGGCGGTGGGCTCAGTGTCATTAAGGCGAGTGGAGTATGGTGGGGTGGGTGTCATTAGGGCTAGTGGAGTGGATGAGTAGGGTGGGTGTCATTAGGGCGAGTGGAGTATGGTGGGGTGGGTGTCATTAGGGCTAGTGGAGTGGATCGAGTAGGGTGGGTGTCATTAGGGCTAGTGGAGTGGGTGGGGTGGTTGTCATTAGGAACTGATATTCTATGGTTTAAGGTCCTATTCTCCACAACCAACCAGGCTAATGACAACGAGCAAGGGTTCTTTAACATGCACACCAACGCCGGGCAACGCGTCCTTTTTTCTTCCTATCCATAAAACTAGGTTCTGTCCCTTACCAGGCCCTCTGTCGTGCACCATTGACAAGGTGAAACCCTGCCGGAACACCCAGAGACACTTTCCTCCTTGATCTCTTTGTTAGTGTGCCTTACTCAACAAGCCACCCAGCCACTGTCTTACTCACCCAGAAACTGCCTATACAACCGGCCACCCAGCCACTGTCTTACTAATCCAGTCACAATCTTATTCACCCCATGTTCCTGAAGCAACGACTTCGAGTTTCACAACATCTGGAGGTTGCTTGTTTACTTCACAATTCTCGAACTTATAGCTATGTTATCTACAGACACACGAGCAGTAGCGTCCAATCTGAGGTTGTGACATGACTGACATCTCAACCTCCACGGAAACTTGACATTAATTGAACCTTGAACTTTGCAACTTGATTATCACAGGTAGACATTTTAGCTTGAAAGCGTGAGACTTGGTATTTGCGACGATCAAGGAATCTGATAGGCTTACAGGTTGGGCTTGTACCCAATAGAAATTAGTGCCGCAATATGCAGGGTATTACGTGAAGGCCTTGATAAGATGTACATAGTTAAAACGAGATCAAGCCTTCTTTTGAAGATGTATTCACCCAGACACTAAAGCATAATCTGACCCTCAGTCCCGGCAAATCAGCAATATATATACGGTACATTGAATCCATAGAAAGATGGAAGTAGTCACGGTTATCATGAAGGACAGGGCAAAATCACAATTGGGGGGCGGTTTCACGAAATTTTAACCAAGATAAAAATCCAAATTTTAGTAATTTGATTGGATAATATTAGATTGATTTTAGTGCTTAGCCAATCAAAATTAAGGTATCTACTAAAATTTTGATTTTATCTTTAGTTAAGATTTCGAGAGACAGGGCCCTGGAAACTTAGTTTTTTTGAGAAGAAAACTAACCACTTCAGAAATGGTAATGAATAAAAAAGCTATGAACAGACGACTCGTTGGTCCCAAATATTTACATTCCTCACGAATCTCGACCAGGTAACTTTATTTTTAAATTTCTGATGTCGTTAGCTATTTAACTTTCCTTAACTTTGTTTACAAATAAAAATGTAGATGCGTTGAAGGTGATATTAAATAATGCTCCCCTGGCAACCAAAAACCAACAAGTAAAAGTAAGTTTAACTTTTATTTTCAAGCTTCTGAATTATTTTACAATTTTGGAGAAGCGGCTGTCGCACTTTTTGGTACACAATAACTTTTCTGTTAAGGACGAGGTTGCATGTCCGAATGGTGTAACATTTGCGAAATAGATCATAAGGGTTGTCATTGAGTTCGATCCAACGCAGGCTTTCCCCCGGGTCCTTTGGTTTCCAAACACTGCTGACGGTCCCTACACAAAAGAATCGTCCCAAAATGACCTTTTTTAGGTTTTAGGTGAGGGTAGGTTAAACTCTCTCTCTCTCTCTCTCTCTCTCTCTCTCTACTGCTCTCAAATGGCACAAACTGACACACTCAGTGACAGCTGTACACGAGTATTAGATGAGGGACATTAGCCTTGATGGCTTTTGTTAATGAAATTAAATGAAATGGGGTTTAATGTCCGACTGTTCTGCGCTGACTGGGCTATTGAAGATGGACGTATGCCATGTAGTGTGCTATGTATGAGGGAAATTTTGCCCAGGCGCCGGCACTATGACCTACTCTTATTTCATATTCCGACTGATAAGGGTTCATTTTTTTGCTTGAACACAGGTCCTCCCAGTTGGTGAGCCAACATTATTATTATTATTATTATTGTTCGATTTATATAGCGCTTCATTACACATGAAGTGTTTCTAAGCACATATCACAAACATTTACTTCAAACACACAGAAACAATCAAAATCAGGAGAACATAATTAAACACAATTAAACACAATTAAACACAGCTGCCTGTTAGGCGCTATTATTCAAAGGTTTATATCCAATAAATCAACCGGCTAATCTCTATATTGAACTCAGTCGAGGTATTACCTGATGAACACCTACACCAAGTAGAGTTCAAAAATAAAAAACGAAGTTTAAAAGAATCAACTTCATTAACAAAAATTAAACAATCAAAAACTAAACAGATAAATCAAATTCAAACGAAACAAATAAAACAAAGAAAATGAAAAGAGCAGTTCATTACCATTCTACATTAACAAAATAAAGGAAAACAACTTGTGAAAATTTTTCAAAAAATAAGAGCAAAGTAACACTAATGTTAATACTTTTTTAACGAACATATGTTATATAAAGTATTAATTAGACATTTATTCACATGACAAGCCAATAATCAACTCGTATCATGCTGTTACCATTGTTCACATTTGTTTGTGGACACTCTACAGGTCACAATTTTTATCCAATTTAGATGAAGCTTACAATATATGTTTATTTCCCAAATAGCTCGGACACATGTCGAACCTTAAATTTCTGGATTATTACCCCTGATTGTACGTTCATGGGAGGACGAACTCCATCAATAATCAGTGCTCCACAAAACTAACATCTTACTCACTAAGCCAAGGTGGCTCCCTTGATGACTATATTTAATGTATTAATTGTGGTTTGATTTGATTTATTTTAGGATCGAGCTTTAGGCCTGGCTGTACGTGTTCTATTAGCGTTTAAAGCTAGTGAAATAGATGGCGCTGTTAAATCTCTAGATACTGTTAATATTGATATTTTAATGAAATATATCTATCGAGGATTTGAACGGGCCCAAGACAATAATACTGGTATATTATTAACATGGCATGAAAAGGTAAGTTATCTACTATCATAAATAGAACATAAAAGTTGTCAATTATCAAACATAGAGCTTGTCAACTATTATACATAAAAGTTGTCAATTATCATAGATAGAAGTTGTCCACTATCATACATAGAAGTTGTCTACTATCATACCATAATGTTGTCAACTATCATACATAGAAGTTGTCTACTATCATACCATAATGTTGTCAACTATCATACATAGAAGTTGTCAATTATCATAGATAGAAGTTGTCAACTATCATACATAGAAGCTGTCAATTATCATACATAGAAGCTGTCAACTATCATACATAGAAGTTGTCTACTATCATACCATAATGTTGTCAACTATCATACATAGAAGTTGTCTACTATCATACCATAATGTTGTCAACTATCATACATAGAAGTTGTCAATTATCATAGATAGAAGTTGTCAACTATCATACATAGAAGTTGTCAATTATCATACATAGAAGTTGTCCACTATCATACATAGAAGTTGTCTACTATCATACCATAATGTTGTCAACTATCATACATAGAAGTTGTCAATTATCATAGATAGAAGTTGTCAACTATCATACATAGAAGTTGTCAATTATCATAGATAGAAGTTGTCCACTATCATACATAGAAGTTGTCAATTATCATAGATAGAAGTTGTGAACTATCATACATAGGCGTTGTCAACTATCATACATAGGCGTTGTCAATTATTATACATAGAACTTGCCAACTATCATACATAGAAGTTGTTAACTATCATACACATTGAAGTTGTCAACTATCATACATAGAAATTGTCAACTATCATACCCATTGTCAACTATCATCCCCATTGTCAACTATCAAACATTGAAGTTGTCAACTATCATACCCATTGTCAACTATCATATCCATTGTCAACTATCATACCCATTGTCAACTATCATACCTATTGTCAACTATCATACCCATTGTCAACTCTTAATAATGTAATGTAGCGTAAATATAAATAGAAACAAAAATATTGTCAAATTTTGATAAGACTTGTAATTAGGTATAGAATATTTTCAGTTTTGAATTAAGAATTATGACTTTTTATCTATTGGATCAAAGTATATTAAAAGATTTTATTGATTTCATTTCAGGTTTTTGCCGTCGGTGGATTGGGAAGCATTATGAGAGTTTTAACAGACAGAAAGAAAGTTTAAATATTCAACATAGAACAAATCATCTTCATCATATATTGTCATGATGTACACATATATTGTCATGATGTACACATATATTGTCATGATCTGTCATGATGTACACATACATTGTCATGATGTACATGTGTATTGTCATGATACAGAAAATGATTTAAAGGACCACTAGTAGAATGCCCATTTACCATAATTATATAAATTCATTAGGCCAATCTATGTTTCCGTTTTTTTTTATAAATTTCTTCGGTCTTCATTAGCCAGGTTGGTGCAGACGTTAATTTTCATTTTATAAATTTGTTTGCCTCCGCTGCTTTAGGTTCTGAGATTAAGATGCGTGTATCGACTGTCTGTTCTCATGAGACCCTTCTGTTCATTATCACATCCCTTGAAATCTACCTAAATGTCTGATGTGATGACTGGATAACAGAGAACACAGGAAGTTGCATCCCATTGATCATTTACGGACAAAGCATCAATTTCATTGGCCAGATGGAAATAAAATGTAGAGCATGCTCGCGGTTAGATGTCTTAAATTAAAAAATAGATGAAAATAAATCCAATAACATGAATAAGTCCAAACGTCTCTGGTATTCATTTGGATCAAGTGTTTATAACCGGAATCTGTTCGATTGAAAGCAGTGGTCTACATGTAGTCAAGCTCGTGTTTTTATGCCAGTTAAACTCTATTTTTATAATATTATCTACTCATGGTCCTGTTGTTGTTATATATCAGATTTCAATAAGAGAACTAGGATTCATACATTAAATACAGACTCTCTTGATAATTTCCCGGAAACGCAAGTACGAGATAGTGTCTGTATTGTAAGGTGTTTAATGGTCTTAAATAGGACAATGTGTAATATATTGAAACTGACTCCCTGGCGCAGTATTAATATATTAATTAATCTCTCTCTCACGATCATTAACTATACATCAGGCTCTGAACCACACTGATCCGCAGTGAATATTCGCTAGGCCGCGACAATCACTGATAAGGATGACATCGATGCGACTTAATGAGCCACAAATATTAACTTTTTTCTCCGACAAATAAAATTCTAAAACATTTTTTTTTATGTATTAGAAAAATAAATAAAGACCTTTGAAGTATTTGTAGGTAAAAATTATTTCCTATTTTAGTGTAAATGGGTATTAAAATGAGTAAAAGGCACCATTCTGCTCGAATCAGTAACATCAAAGGTAAACAATGCATGCCCCATTGAGCCAATGATTGATGCCGCGTGATATGACATCATGTGTTGAAGGCAGTCATCTTTTACAGAGATATTAGAAGACTTTCGTAATACTCTGTGAAACAGATTGGCTTTGAACATATAGCTAGTTAATCGTAGTGGACCTCCAATACAGTGGATGTCATATCAAATCCTTCTAGTGCAAATTTTCAGATATTAAATAATTTAGCTTGTATAGGTCTATCCTTTTGTAGTTTTTTTTCGTTCGATGCAATTGTACATGTGTTTACGTCAAATAATTTTAAAGGTAGTCACCCATATACCGCCATCCCTGTGAATAAATCCAGGGGTCAGTGGCGTAGAACGATACCACTAGGGATACCGCCATCCCTATGATTGAATCCAGGGATCAGTGGATTTAGCATTGTTTGGTTGAAGATAAATATCTATAAATTTAGGGCCATCTTGGAAAATAACGACAACATCATTTACCTTTGAATTCTATGAGAATGAGCATGTAACTATTGTAAAAGAATATAATATTGTCCTGAATATATATATCATGCCTCACATTTAATCATCATATTAAAATTATAAAAAATAAATCACAAGATGTTTTACTTTCTTCATTCTTTTGGAGGGGTTGAACGTCCTACTATTCTTGTTCTGCAGGGTTAATGAAGACAGGCATACACCATACAGTGTTCTATGAGGGAAATTTTGCCAGGGCAGTGGCGCTACAGCCCACTCTTATATCAAATTCCATCTGTCAAGGGTTGTTTTAAGTGCATGCCAATGTATTCACAGGATCTCGTTTTTTGTCCCATCCGAATGACTATTTGTTGTCCCTTGCCAGACCCTCTGTCCTGTATTACTGACAAGGGGGAACTAAGCAAGTCTTGTAGGGAATGGGGTTAAAAGGGATTTCTTGTCAAGACATTCTGTGCGATCTGAGGAAGGACAGAGCAGTGTTCCCAACTCATCGCCTCCAAATTACCTATTTGTCCCTTCATTCACTAAGGCGGATGGGGGTCGAATGGTTCAATGCATGCATGTTAAATCATAAGGTCTGTCATTAAGTCAAGTGGCGTGTATTTGATTTCCAGCTTATATGTGACTAGAAGTACATCATGGGTTTTCTTTGGGTCCTCCCACGACTAATACATTTTGTTGAAATAAAATTGAACCATGTGCTAAATGTTAGTCCCAAAATCACCTAGTTTGTGTCAAGTGGATGTTAAACCCCATTTCTGTCTCTCCAATTAAGATATATTTGAACCATATATGTTAGTCCCAAATTGACCAAGTTTGTGTCAGGTGGATGTTAAACCATATATCCCTCTCCGTCTCCTTCAGACACTATAATCCTAATGGGTGTGCATGCACTGGATCCAAGTCCAAAAGGTTGCTCGCAGTGCCCGTAACTAGAACACACACCCCCCCCCCCGTGAAAAATTATCGATCATGAAAACAATAGATATACATTCTCCGTCAATTTTACAGCACCCCCTGAGAACACTTCCCGTCCCCCCCCCCCCTTGCTCTGAGCTAATTACGTCCCTGGTTGCCTTTTAGTTAAATTTGAATATCTTTAACAGAAGCCGAGAGGGGGTATTAAAACTGACCCCAGAATTCCTGTTGCCTTGAGTACACAGTACAGCAGAGTTGCCCAGTTCTTTTAACACCAGACTAAAATAATATTAGACACCAGTACTCACTTGATGACAGTCGGTGGATGTTTTGGGTCTCTCAGGAGAACCTCCAGTACAAATGGTAAATAATAGATAATATTGACTGGTTATAAGAACTCCTCATGTTACTCAAACATCTCCTTTAAAATATTGACTTGTTACTAAACTGCCACAATATTTATTATTATAAATAACAATACCTGTATTATAATAAAGACAATAATATTCAGACTGTTAAATAACAATACATGTTATTATAAAGATAATAAAATTCAGACTGTTAAAGATAGGCGACCATTTTGTCGGGCGATTTCGTTTCGATTTTTCTTGAAATTGGAACTCAGCCTTCTTTATGGTGGAATGGTGATATATTTAAACGCTTTTTAAAATCGGATAAACATTGTAACCTCTAGAGGGCACACAAGTTAAAAATGTGTTTCGTACAATCAGGGACCATAATCCAGGAAGTTATGGTCTGGTATGCGTAATGAAATGGGTTTTAGCGTCCTACTGTTCTGCTCCGACTGGGCTAATGGAGTACGATCTTGTAGGTAAGATATAAACCACTTTCTGGGCGAATCTACAACCCCACAGCACCAGGGCCGTAACTATAAGAGCAACGAGGGGGCAGGAAGTGTTCTCAGGGGTGCTGTAAAATTGACGGACAATGTATATAATATCGGGGGTTTTATAGTCGACAATTTATTCACAGGGGTGGGGGGGGCAAACTTTTTGTACAATCTCCACAGGAATTCAAAGGAAATATGCATCTGGTCAGTTAATCATACCTTGACGTGATAAATAGACAATTCCATATATGATCAGGAGTCTTATCTATTTTCCCAATTGTCGGACCCTACATAACCAGGAGCTTGCTGACAGACGAGTGGGAAGTAGAAGACAGGTTTGGATGAGTGCATGGACTCGCTTGATCTCAGCAGCTGTCTTAGCAGAGGGGCGGAATCGTGGGTTTAATATAGTTAATGTACCGTCCTGATGTGTTCCTTTAGAGTTTAAGTTCCTGTATTATTGATGGTACTGTTGTATTTATGTAGTTGTGTTATATTCCGTTTCAATGTAAATAAACCCTATATGTACGAAACTGATCTCGGTTATCACTAAAATAGTGTTACATTAAAGATACATTATATAAGATTTAGATAAAGAACTAGCCATTCTTGCTATAATAGTTCGAAAGTAGATGATGTAAAATGAATAATTTGAAAATTTCATTCAAATTACTCTATTGCAAGCGAAGATATTAGCCTTTGAAGGTTTGACAGACGTGTGCAATAATTTCAACCACCGTACTGGTTGATCGAAGCTAAGTCTCGGTCCTCCATATTTGATTAAATCGAAGTATCACTGAACCATTCTAATCTATTTAATATCGGAGAAATCTGATGCCATCGAGAGTTGATTAAGGCCTGGATCAGTTAATTAATGTCTAATTAATACTTTAGAAAACATTTCAGGCCTAAAGAAAGACCTGCAATAGGCAGATTTAGCTCTTGCATAATGCAAAACAATTCAAAAACTGGAAGACCAGAATTTAAATTATTTTATTCATTAAAGGGGCATTACGTTAGATTTAGATAAAGCGCTGGTCCGCTATAATATTTCAAAAATAGATAATGCAAAATGAATATATTGAAGATTTCATTCAAATTACTTTATTTTGAGCGAAGTTAGTAATGTTTGTAGTTTTGACAAGATGTGTGCATTGATCGTAACCATTGGTCATTCGAGTCTAATTCTCTATTCTCCAGTTTTGAATTAAATGACTGAACCGTTCTAATCTACTTAAAATCGGAGCCATCCTATGGCATCGAGAGTTGATTGTGCTCTTGTCATGTTTATAAATGTCTAATTGATAATAATTTATATAATACTCCATGCCTAAAGAAATCCTGCGATAGGCAGATTTGGCTCTTGAATAATGCCTGTTTAAGAAATGAAGACACTTTGTGATATTGTCAAATAAAGGTGCTGTGATTTCTTAAAATTTGGACACGCGATACTTGAAAGTAGTTTTAAAGTCTTAAACTCAGTATTATTCACAGTCTACGACATTGCAGTCACGGCTTATTGGTCAATTTAAATTCACATTGATGTTATTATCTTATAAAGCTGGGCTTCTGATATCCAATATTTAAGATACAGTGACCATTTGTAATGACGCGACTGGATGAACGACGCTAAAAATATCCCTGAATACTACCGGTGTAGACTGGGGTAACCAGACGCTAAAGAATGCTACTCAACTGGGACTCTTCGCGTATTTCGTCGAATAAAACTGATTAGAAATTACAGTAAAAACAGAAACGGTTGAATTAAAATCAGTTTATATACATTCGTATTACATTATTATATTTATATATATGCGTTGCGACCTATTTGTTTCCATTTCTAGGTGCAAAATATTAAAGACTTTGCTCCTTTAATTCTAACCACTATCGGGTACACTCGAATGTCAAGTCGATTCTGTTCAACTTGGTTAAGGTAACAGACGACTCGTTGTGTTAAAATGGTTGGTTGGGAACATAATCCGGATGATTTTTAGCCCATGGGAAATCAAAATATTTCACATTTCTATCCAAGGTTTGAATAAGTTTGATGTCTTCTTTTGATAAGCACCAATCTAATACTTCTATATTCTGTTTCAATCGAATTTTAGTTTGACTTTTTGGCAGAATGCCTCGATTCAACTGGGCTACATAATTTAGTAGAACTTCGCCTGGTGTCCTGTTTATCCGACTCGCTATTTCTTTTATTACCAGATCATCCAATAAAACAGGTTTATTTCCGCTTTGATTGGGTCTCGTGATAGCACCGAGTGCTCCATATGACGTCATTATTATTCCCCTCTCCGTACAAAGTTTTCCCAATTCCTTCTGTTGTAAATAAGCGTGGCATTCGAGTTGCAAATTTGAAGGTTTGATTTTCGCGGCTTTCCATATTTTATTGATAACAGTGGGTTGACAATTTGACAATCCGATATGCACAGTTTGATTTTCTCCAACCAGTTTCTCCATGGCTTTCCAGGTCCGCAAAATATCATAGCTGACTATTTCCCTTTCTCCATTTTCATCCAAGGGTTTAAAGTTTCCATCTCCTCTGTTTGGATTACCGCACGGATGGTGAATCAACAACATGTCCACATATTTTAATTTTAAATTATCCAATGATTTTTCTGCACTTTGCAAACAATCCTGATAATCTAAATATATTGGCGGAATTTTCGTAGTTATAAACAAATCTGCACGCTTTACGGTTCCATCTTTAATTCGGGATGCTACCACGTCGCCGATCTCAACCTCGTTGCCGTAAGATAGCGCTGTATCAATGTGCCGATAACCAATATATAAAGCATAATCCAAGGCCTCTCTCAAGACATCATTTTTCATCAAGAAAGTCCCCAACCCGACAGTTGGTATTCTCCTTCCAGAGTTTAAAGTCAGATATTTCCTTAACGATGTCATCTTGGAATCTCCATGTATTCTGCAATTGGGAAAACATAAAAAAAACTGTAAGAATTCTAAGAATAAACTTGTAGAATATGCTTCTATTAATTCAAGCACTATTTATAGCTAAGTACAATGATGAATTGTCACCTAATACCTATACACGACTTCCTCAAATAATATCATGAATCAAATCACATAAGGCGTGTATGGTGTCTTTGAGGGTGTAACACAAAGGTGGCAATAAACAAGTTAATACACAAAATCATCTAACATAATTATATTCTAAGAAACACATAATGACACAAGTATTTACAGCAAATAACAATCACATATTATTAGCCCGATTCAACAATGATCCCTGGACCAACACATAATTAAAAATGTACATGAATACAGAACACGCGACCTTCATTTATGTATGACATAAATGTGCCTTATAGGTCAATTAGATTCACTTTAAACTCTGTTACATTCAATTCAATGTCAACCTTTTAAATGACAATTTTAATATATCGTCATCTCAAAACAGCTAGCCCTCAGCTGACTCAAGAAACTGTCTTCTGCCTTCATAGACCTGTAAAGGGTCCATGTCAATGACAATGTCTAAGCTTATTCCTTTCAATTTCTCTTCACGATCTTCTGAATTACCCAAGACATGATGTAGCTTCTCAATATTTTAACACAATCGTTGGCAAATGATATTCTCTTGATTATATGGATTCACTATATCCATATTCTACTGTCCTAACTAACTACTAGTTCTAGTGCGATATCATTTGTAAATTGTAATACAGATAAGAAGATACTTAGATAGCCTAATTTAACGCAGTGTTCGTAGATATTTTCCCTAATTCTTCCTATCAGACGTGAACTGTCAGCCCATGTTTCAATCACAGGTTTGTGATTTCAATCCATGTTATTATTAAGCTTAAGGTATCCACCAATACCTGTACTTCAAATCATACCCTCTAATAATCCTTCGCACCAAGCCCACGAAAATAAATATTTGACTTGGCCTTTCAGACTTATTGGCGGATGTCGTAATAAAGGGAGGCAAATAAAATTAGGAATAGGGATGCAGACCACCATTGCTTTCGTCATTGACGACAAATTCGTTCAGTTGGAGAACGTTCCCAAGATAGAGATGTTACCAGGGGCATATTGGGCCATCGGGCCATCGGGCCATCGCACGAAGGACCGGTCGGACAAAAAACTGAAAAAAATAATTTTGTCCAATTCGTCTAAAAAACCTTTTTCTGCTGAACATTATATGGAGGGGGGGGGGGGAGTATTGGACCGGCCATGGAGAGATGATGATCATGTTTTATGTGGCCGGTGGCTTTAACGGACAGCCACGCCATCACTGGAGTCTGGAATGGACTGGTATAATAGACTTTCTGGGCTGGGTGTGCTGTGTGTGGGCCGGAATTCAGAATCCTCCATATGACGATATGATGATTTCACAGGTTGATGGTTGTAAATTACTTGCAGGTCGGGGTTTTGGCCTAAATTAATCGATTTATGAAATATATTATTTGACAGAGATTACATGTATAATCAGATATGCCACCAAATCGCATATTTGGGGGTTCATTTTTCAAAATTTTCCCGGCAGAAAGCCCCCGGACCGGCCCCAATCTGCCCCTGGATGTTATGATCAAGAAGTAGAACGACGCTGTAACAAGATTTTTCATACAATCAGGGGCCATAATCAATGTTCATCTTCGGACTCCATCAAGACATTCACCTAATAAACACCTACACCAAATGGGGGCTTGGATGGTCAAATGGTTAGCACGTGTGCTGTATCATAAGGCCTGTCATTGAGTCAACTAGCGTGGTTTGGAATCCCCAGTTGTACGTGACAAGGAGTAGTGTCGCCTGTCCAACCTCGTGGGTTTTCTCCGGGTCCTCCCACTGCTAAAGACCCCTACGCACAAGCAAATTATTGAAATAAAATTTAGTCCCGAAATGACCCTACACCAAATTTAAACATTCTAGTTCAATTAGACGGACATTTATTGTGTCCCAAAAAGTGTGACGGACGGACAGACACAGACCCATTTTATTAGTTCTCAGATTTCTTCTAAAGGCAAGGGACAATTATATTCCATCGAATTGTAACTTCCTGTGCACGGCAATTCACTTACATGTAGGTTCTTCACTGAATGAATTCCTGTTTTTATGTTTAGGTCCATTGCATCGCATGCACTCAAAGACAATTTTTACAATCCTTTAATGGCATTTAGCAATTGGAAACATAACAAAACTGACACAGTTATATGGGACAACAATCACTGGTTTAATATACACAAGCAAGACGTTTCAATAAGTATTCTATTATCCTTATCATCCAGTCATTAGTAATAAGAATGGTTTCACATTGTACATATATATATAGACCCTCCAGTTTACTCAATGTCATTGTGCTTGATAACGATAAGAGAATACTTATCGAAACGTCGTGCTTGTGTATAATAAACTAGTGATTGTTGTCCCATATAACTGTGTCAGTTTTGACAATGTTTACGTTTAAGGTCCAATACAGAACACACTGAATCTACACAAGAAATAAGGATAGTCATTCTATTTATTTATCAATACATGAAATACACAAAAAATAATAACAATAAAATATTTATACAAATTTTTTTTTTAATCAGCGTGCAACGGCACCAGATAAACTGACGTCGCAGACTATGTTTGCATGTAGGTACATGAACTCAGTAGCACTACACTACAAGAATCTACATGTGGTACTCAGTAGTCAATTAAATACATGTATGACATCTTTTTGATAATCAATGGTTCGTAGGCAACATATTGACGGAATAGTAATCCAAGTGATGCAGAATTCAGTCCCGACAGCATAGGTGGAGTGAATAGAATAATCATGACCTAATTAAACACAAAGAAAATGTTTCAGCTGTCATGGCTGATAATTTCTTATTAAAAGTCAGCTCATGCATCATAGACCGAAAACGCAAATTTGGGGATTCAATTCTGGAACTTCAATAGTGTACCTCCCCGATACCTTATTAGTGAAAACCTAAAGGGAGATGATCTGGGTATAGGTCTACCAGGTATACGACAGTCTTATTGGTATGTAATACAATCTTTTGTTATTTACTTGATCCACATAATATTGATACATTGTAATAATAAACAACATTGGTACAAATGATGTATATAGGATGTCCAACAGAGACATTTCTCCCCCCCCCCCCCCCAAATCTAAAAATTCTATTACGACATTGTATTTTGATAGACCATGAATCTAATCTCAGGGACTTTGGGGATTCAATTCTGGAACTTCAATAGTGTACCTCCCCGATACCTTATTAGTGAAAACCTAAAGGGAGATGATATGGGTATAGGTCTACCAGGTATACGACAGTCTTATTGGTATGTAATACAATCTTTTGTTATTTACATGATCCACAGAATATTGATACATTGTAATAATAAACAACATTGGTACAAATGATGTATATAGGATGTCCAACAGAGACATTTCTCCCCCCCCCCCCAAATCTAAAAATTCTATTACGACATTGTATTTTGATAGACCATGAATCTAATCTCAGGAACTTTGTTAATACATAAGGTCTACTTAAAAATGATTTAAATTGGCTGAAAGAGGATAAAATGTTGTAAATATCTAAAAAAAAAATTGTTACAGACACTGAAAATACATGAATGAAAATGAAATGAAATGGGGGTTAAGGTCCCCACTGTTCTGCAAATGAAATGAAATGGGGTTTAACGTCCTACTGTTCTGCTCCTAACCTGGGCTAATGAAGACGGACATACGCCATACAGTGTGCTATGAGGGAAATTTTGCCCGGGCAGCGGCGCTACGGCCTACTCTTATATCGAATTCCAACTGCCAAGGGATCTTTTACATGCACGCCAATGTGTACACGGGTCCTCGGTTTTTCGTCCCATCCAAATGACTAGACAGCTATCCATGTCAGACCCTCCATCCTGCATCACTGACAAGGAGAAACCACGCCGTAAAATCAGGATGAACTTTCTCGGCCAATGCAGGGATCGAACGCCGACCTCCAGACTAGTGAGCCAGCGTCTTATCCACTTAGCCATGTGATCCCCCACCCACTGTTCTGCTCCAACTGGGCTAATGAAAACAGGCATATCCGAATGATTAGATAGCTGTCCTTATCAGGCCCTCCGTTCTGCACCGCTGACAAGGCGAAACCATGCCGTAAAATTCTGATGAAAAAAATACATGGACTATTTGGAAGTAATTTTTTCAAATAGGAGTGCTTTCCACTGAAACTCCTTGAGTTTAAACCTATTGTTTTATTAAATTAGTTTAATTACTCTATAATTACTCAATATTGACTTTTACAGGTAAGATTATACAATGCAGGGAAATTAGGCTTCCCATATGAAAAGCGTTACATTTCAGAACTTCAAATAATTATTCTAGGTTACATGTATTTATTCACCAAAAGATAAACATTTAATTTATGCAGAGAAAGACATGATTTTAATTCCAGATTGTCTTTTGTTGTAATTTTTACCAAGTTAAATTATCGTAAAGTTCAAAGGCCACAACAAATGTTTCATGGTTTTTATTTTTTCTGAGCTTTTTTAACTTTGCGTTTCAAATCCACGACATCGACCCCACTTGATTCAGTTTTCTGTTTTTTCCTTGGAGCACTTGTTTCCTCAGGAGGCACAAAATCTGCTCTTCGTTTTTCCCGCTGTTTAGCTTTCGCCACTTTATCCTTCTCTTTGCGTTCCATCAATTTTTTCACATGCTTCTGCTTCTCATTGAGAAAATATTCACCTGAAGCCAACTGTTTGTCCATTTTTGACTCGGGCATGGGAGGTGGGAATGGGGTATACTCTTTCTTCTTAAAGACAGTTTTAGCCTTCTGCTGATGATTCTTCTTTTTGAATTGCGGCATGAACCGCTCCCAATTTTCATTTTTTAATTCTGGATGTTTCATTAATTCCCTTTTTATCATCAGTCGTTTTATCGTGTAGACTGGGTGGGTATTTAGCATCGTCTGCTCCACGATATCACGAACATCGTTTAAACCCCCGTATGGACCTACAACAGACACAGTCCGACCTTGAACTAAAATATAGCAGTCGGTCAACAGTTCAATAGCTTTCAGTGTCGCACCATCGGGTCCAATTAGTCGATCTCGTCTTTTAATAAATCGTTCTTTGTTACGCACATACGATGAAATTTTTATGATGTCACAGCCGATTTTATCCTCCAGAATTTTAACTGAATGTTCAAATGGTACGCTTCGTGCTAATAATTTACAAAAATCCCTCGCTTTTATTATAATGTAAGGGTCCCATGTTTTTCTTGTCGTTTTGACTGACATAACGCCCTCGACCAAATCTAATTCTGAAATTAATAAATGATCTTTCAAGACTTTTTGGACAAGTGGCCAGCATTCTCTGATGTAAGTTTCACGATATTGTGGGAACTTTATCTCAAACGAACTCTCAGCCAACATCCCGTGTGGGTTGTCCTCTTTCGTGAACCTGGGTTCTGTCCATCCTTCTGGCACCTCAATGACAGCTTTCTTTTTCTTTGGGAACTTCTTTTTCTTCCCAGAATCATGAGAAATAGCAGGAATTTCTTCACTTGTTTCGGCCATGCTGGTTATAGTTTACTATAGATGGCGCTGCTGGGCTCTATCTAATTATATGGCGTGGACCTAAACCTACATTAGTTTTCGTTTCGTGGTAAGGCAGTTGGCGTGTTATCTCAAATCGCTGTATTTTATTGGATTCTACACCAGTTGTGAATATTCAAAGTAATTTCTAAATTTAAGTATTTTTTTTCTATTTTTAAAAAATCTAAAATCAAAAAGTTATTGCTCTTGACAAGTAGCACTATTTACTACAATCTATCCATTTTTTAAACTCATACCACAATAATCTACAATCGATATTTGATAATATACCGTTCTTTATGCCACATTGGCATTTTTAATTAAAAATTTTGTGTCAAAATGCCCCTAAAATTACGATTTTCAAGCAAGTTTGGAAGGTGTAATCAAGAGACATAACTTGTGTAATACACAAATCTACTCAAAGCTACCATTATTTCATCATCACATTTGGAAACAAAAATGCTACGATTTTAAATAAAAAATGACAATTTGATATAAAGAACGACAAATTATCAATAATCGATATAAATTATTGTAATATGAGTTTAAATAATGTTGAAACACAAATCCTATTTCGTTTCGTTTTTTTATAGTTAAAAATTTCGTTATACTTGTCTTTACTACGCTAGGATCTGGAAGAGTTGTTACATAACCCACGTTCTGGGTGATATGAGGGATTAGCCAATGATCTAAACGGTCTGTTTACGGTGAGTGTTTTTGGCGTGAGGTGCACGGAACTGTGGGTAATCCACTAGAAACATCAACGCTGATTGGTTAATCAAATGACCTTCCATTACAACCAGATCTTCATGTGGTGTACTAGGCCATCGAAAGTATAACCAGCGGCTGCCAGGCAGGATACGCCCACATTTTCGAGAGATGGATAGAGAACAAGCTAAAAAGAAAGTGATTTTTCCTACAATCAAGGGCCATAATTCAGGAAATTACAATTCGATATGCGCAAATATCGAAAGGAGTCGAGATCTTTGTGTTATAAACTTACATTTCAAGTTTCAACAAAATCGGATAAAAATTGTGACCTCTATAGGGTCCACAAGCTAAAAACGTGATTTTTCGTACAAACAGGGGCCATAATCCATGAAGTTTCGATCCGATACATGCCAATATCGAAAGCAGCCGAGATCTTTTGGAGATAAACCTATATTTCAAGTTTCGTCAAAATCGGACAAGAATTGTGACCTGTAGAGTGTCCACAAACAATTGTGGACGGACGGACGTCCGGACGGACAGGGGCGACGACAATATACGTCCACATCAAAATGTGGGCGTATAAAAAAAAAAAAAAAATGAAATATAGATCTGTATTTTAATCAGATCGGGATTTGGGTGTATTTGGGTAAATTGTGCTACCAATTCAGAAACAGTACTGCTGATCGTGGATGGCGCATATTCTATCCTGTAGTTCACTAAACATCAATGAAGTTGGAAATAAATTATTGATACACGGGTCGTTGACATTGATTTTTCGTCCCATCCGAACGACTGGGAAACACGTACTTTCCTTGTCGACAACACTACATACAGGCTTGATAAATGCCAATGTTCTTCCCACCAGGATTCAAAGCCGAGACAATGTAGTGAAGAATTCAGTGATCTACCCGCAGAATTCGGTGATCTACCTGCGACCCCAGAATCATCTGTGGGAGCATCTAGTTTATGACCAATATCACAGGACGACGTTCATGAACTGTTCCCAAAAATATGCTCTGGGGGACAAAATTCCGCTGCGTTCGTGTTCGCCGTTAAACTTCATTCAAATAATAGTAATCAACCAAATGCGATCGGCGTGTTTCGCGCTCACATTAACGACGAAAGCGGACGAATTTTTGTCCGGAATAAATGACCCCTATTGAAGACATCGCTTAAGACCGCGATTATTTTATTTATTTTTTTATTTTTTTTAACAGCCCCATTAAATAGTTAAATAACTACATGTAGTGTGTAATAGAGACATTACTCCTACGAGTCTTTTTTGATATAAAAAAGAAGAGTTGAAGCGCAAATTCTTTGGTATAGATTTTAATTTCATGTAAGGCGATATCTCCTAGTAGAATATGAAATTTATCACACTCGCGGTGTTTACGGTAGAATGTGTTATTGGATGATAATGCACGATACACGCGATATCTACCGTAGAATGTGTTATTGGATGATAAAGCACGATAACAATCTTCCAAATCAACAGAGATTTAAAGGGCAAATTGACGAAACGTATCCATCTACGAGAGAGAGAGAGAGAGGGTTTAACGTCCACTCGACACAAACTAGGTCATTTTGGGACTAACATATGGTTTAATTTCATTTCAATAATTCGCTTGCGCGAAGGGGTCTTTAGCAGTGGGAGGAGGAAAGCGGAGGACCCGGAGTAAACCCACGACGTTGGAAGGCGACCCTACGTACAACCGGGGAACCATCTACGAGCTCATACTAATTAGATCATTGTAATATATTGGTATACCAAGGCACAAATTTGTGTTTATTCACCCAAATAAATTTGAATACGGTATACATTTGAATTTATTTTATTCCTCTGTCTAGCCTAATCAGTGTCGGCGCCAGCCTTCGGTGATTGGAGTGGCAAAGCTGGGGCAAAGTCCAAGGTTAAGGGGGCAAAGGCACGAGCTTCAACTAGGGGTAGGGGGCCTCCCCCTGAAAATTTTGAAAAACAGGTTGCCGTAAATGCAGCCTAGCTGGCAGTATTTCAGGCACTGATCGATGAGGTAAAGTGTCAAACGAACGGACATGCGAATCACGACGAAGCCCACTCACGAGCGTCAAAGTAGGGAGTCCTACTGCCGGAAATGCTGTACGTCTGACAGTATTCTGTCAGGCACCGATCGTCGAGATAAATAGATCTGCCCAGATACCGTTCGTCGCCTGATCACTAGTTTATCCGACTAGAGAACAAAATGTCAAACGAACGGACTTGCGAACCTCAACGAATTCCCCTTATGAGCGCCAAAGTAGCGAGTCCATTGGGGACCTCGCCAAGAAAATTTTGAAAAATAGACTGCCGGAAATGCTCTACAACATGCAAGTTTATGACTGAGTGGGGATGTAGGATTTATTCACCGTAGAAGGTATTGATTACCGAAACGTATCACAAATACTTTTTTTTATTTTCTAAAATTATAGGGGGGGGGGGGGCAAACAGAGGGCAGACCAGATTAATGGGGGGGGGGGGGGGAATGCCCCCCACCCTTGCCCCCCCCCCCCCTGGCGCCGCCACTGAGCCTAATTGCTCTAGTTATAAAGGAAAAGAAATAAAATAAAATGAATTAATTTTTTTTTTTAAATTTAACGTTCCACTTTAAATCTTCATTACGCATCTATCGTAGCAATGGTCTATTTGTTAAAATTATATTTGGAATGTGTTTAACCAGTTCTATTACATATTTAATATTGGCTACCACCAACATTTTTCTTTAACCCCCGGCTTTTGGAAATTTTTAATCCCATTCCCCATTTCAGACGTATCATCACATCACGACCCGGAAGTACAACCTTTAAATATGGCTGAAAATGGAAACACCACATTCGAGACTTGAACTAATTCAATTTTTATTTATATTTAAGGTGAGACATTGACCTTGAAACCACAATTAACACCTGAAAAAACAAAATTTGTCTATGAAATGGGTTAAATTATTTTAAATCAGATAAGAGCGAAGCAGCTAAGAGTTGGTAAACGTAACAAATAAGGCAAAAAAGTTCTGGGAGAGAGAGGACTCGCAAACAAGGAGACTGTTAGTGGCTGACAGTCAGTCTGTTGTCACAAAATCTGTGTATACCACCCAACTATTTCTTTCCGGCAAATAAAAGGGAGGTACTATGCTTCCCCACACTTTACTGCTACCTTACTTGACCCCAAATGTCGATTGTGTGTACATTTGTAAATCACATTTTTCAACAAGACTAAAAGAGGGGTGGTACTGGTTACATTGACATATACTATACCATACCTCTTGTATCAGTGGATTCTCTGCATAAGAATAGTTCATTTAATAAATAAATCAAATGAAAGCATTAGATATATGAATCTCTTTTCTTGATAATTCATTGGTCATTAAATTAGAATCATTGACTTCATATTTTTGGCTTGATATTTGAGTTATTTTCCAGTGCACCCATTTATAACATTTGGATTTCGACTTAACTTAGTATTCTTAAAGATGCAGATCGCCATAAGATTTAATTAAAGATGCATTATGCAAGAGCTAAATCTGCCTATTGCAGGTCTTTCTTTAGGCCTGAAATGTTATCTGAAGTTATTAATTAGGCATTAATTAACTTATCCAGACCATATTAAACTCTCGATGCCATCATTAGACTGTGATTTGAAGTGGATTTGAATACATTTTGTGATGGATAATTTTACGTAAAAATGGATAATCGAGACTTTGTATATTATTGTGCCAACATAATGATGATCTAGGCTAGCCTAAAATTGATTCGCTATTGTCTTGGTTCAGAGTGAAGCAGTCTGACCGAAATTTTCAGCATATTCCCTTTACATTATCTATTTTCAAACTATTAGTATTATATAGGGAACTATCAGCTCTTTATCTAATCTTACCTAATGCTACTTTAAGAAAACAAAGTTCAAAGTTCAACGTTCATATAGATTAAAAAGGGGACCATTAAAAGATGTTCTGTTTCTGTCGTCCGCAGAAGATGTTGGATGTTGATAGATTTTCAATTTGTCGTATCTCGGTAAATGCTAAATGGAATGAACCGTTTTTGGACTGTTTTAGAGTTCAACTTTCACAATATTGTAGTTTACGAGGGGTTAAAAATGAATTGCGACTTTCAGGTCACATTTTCAAATTTATAACTTGAAAACATTACCTTTTATGTGTTATGAAAGTGTTTATTAAATAACAGAGAAGTAGTTATATCTACATCTACATGTATTCCATGTGTTATTAAATAATAGAGAAGTGGTTATATACATATCCATAATACTTTGTGTATATATTTAAGTGTACTTCTGGATGTTATTTTAAGAATTAAGTTTTAAGCCTTTACTACGATAAAGGCCTATACATATATCCTTAATTTTTCCCTCTTACTTGCAGCAATTTTATTTATGATGTCTACTGAAGAAAGACAATTACCTGGGTGACAAAACCAATTAACAAACATAATATCTTCAATCTCAGGTGAATATAAAGTGGAATTGTCTGTTATAACTTCAAATGCACATTCAAAAATATCTTGCATTTTTGCATGGATGGCTGAATGGTTAGCACATGTGCGCTGTATCATAAGGCCTGTCATTGATTCAACTGGCGGGGTTTCGAATCCCAGGTTGTACATGACAAGGAGTAGGGTCGCCTGCCCAACCTCGTGGGTTTTCTCCGGGTACTCTGGTTTCCTCCCACTGCTAAAGACCCCTACGCACACGCAAATTACTGAAATAAAATTAAACTATATGTTAGTCCCGAAATGACCTAGTTTGTGTTGAGTGGACCCCATTTCTCTCTCTCTCTCTCTATGTGAAACCCAGTCACTGGATTGGGTGATCAAACTAAGTCATTTTGGGACTAACATATGGTACATCTTTATTTCAATAGGGGTGTTTAGCTGTGGGAGGAACCCGGAGAAAACCCACTAGGTTAGGCAGACGACTTTACTGCTGGTCATGTACAAGCGTAGAATACACTACAACTTGGTTATCATTTAGTTGTGTTGTTTTAACAGGATTTTCTGTATTTAATGTTTAGTTTCAAACGATTGTTGGAAAACTGTTTAAATCTGTTGAGAATCATAGAAAACTATTGGATGTCTTTAGTCAGGTAGTTTAAAGAGTCTGTCTAGATTAGATAATGAGTGTTAGGTTTATAACTTTTTAGTTTCTCAAAAGGTGTTGAGTAATTAACAGACGAATTAATTATTCAACACCTTTTGAGAAACTAAACATTAAATACAGAAACTAAATGATACCTGAGTTGTAGTGATAGTCACCAAGCCTCTTGCTCCCGGGCAAGAAATTATCATCTAAATTCTAATAGTTAAATTAGAAAGATCACTTTCCCCAAGTGTTTAGTTTATTCAACATATTTATATTTCAGGTTAAAATAAATCAATCACCATGGCGATGATGGATAATAAAGATTTTTTGATCGCTCACTTGCGTAATTCGTTTATTACAAGTGATGATACAGGGATGTGCGAACTAATCTTGGAAGGGGACGAAGCGGAGCATACCGAGGGAGAAGAAGAATTTCGAAGAAAGAAAAGTGAAATAGGAATAAAAACTAAAGATGAACCTCCTGGTGGATCAGTCATGTCATCTAGTAGTACAGATGGGTAAATACATTGTTATGGTGATATTATTGTTATAATACATCGTTATGGTGATATTGTTATAATACATCGCTATGGTGATATTATTGTTATATTACATCGTTATGGTGATATTATTGTTATAATACAGGGCTATGGTGATATTATTGTTATAATTCATCGCTATGATGATATTATTGTTATAATTCATCACTATGGTGATATTATTGTTATAATTCATCACTATGGTGATATTATTGTTATATTACATCGTTCTGGAGGCTTGGATAACCGAATAGTCAGCACTTGTGCGCTGTATCATATGGTCTGTCATTGAGTAAACTGGCGTGTTTTCGATTCCCAGGTAGTAGGTGACAAGGAGTAGGGTCGCCTGTCGAACCTCGTGAGTTTTTTTCTGGGTCCTCCGGTTTCCTCCTACTTCCAAAGACCGCTATGCGCAAGCGAATTATTGAAATAAAATTGAGCCATATGTTAGTCCCGAAATGACCTAGTTTGTGTCGAGTGGACGTTAAACCCCATTTCTCTCTCTCTCTTACATCATTATGGTGATGTTTTTGTTATGGTGATACGTTGTTATGGTGATACGTTGTTATGGTGATACGTTGTTATATTATATGGCTATGGTAATACCATTCATTATATTTCATCATTATGGTGATGTTTTTGTTATGGTGATACGTTGTTATATTATATGGCTATGGTAATACCATTCATTATATTTCATCATTATGGTGATGTTTTTGTTATGGTGATACGTTGTTATATTATATGGCTATGGTAATACCATTCATTATATTTCATCGTTATGGTGATATATTTGGAATTTTATCGTCATATAAAAATTTGTAGGCCGTTGAGGAACAAGCTTGCCAAGAGTCATGTACTTGAATTGACAGAGCCTTAGACTTTTTACGAAGAGTGTCACCCCAAACACTTAGATTTGTAGTCTCTGGTCAATAAATACAAATCATCTCCGTCGATCCTAACCAATGGTCAAATACCAAGTCAAGCAAATGAATTCGGTAAATTTGAGTAATAAAAACATGCGCACTCGTCATCTGAGAAAACCCCACAAGTGGTACCAAGTGTTCATCAAAGAGTAAGCAGACCCTGCCATGCACATGCTACCTACCACAGAAATGATAAAACCAATAAAATGAGGCTGGACCAAACAGATCTGTAATGATAGCAGACACATAGATACACACATTTTATCGTGCACCCAGTAGACCCATGAATCCCGTCTTCATTCGCCCAGTAGACTCATGAATCCCGGTCTTCATTCGCCCAGTAGACTCATGAATCCCGTCTTCATTCGCCCAGGTGGCGCTAAAACTAGGATGTTAAACCCCATTTCTTTTATCGTGAATTCGAAATAAGAATAGAATGTAAACCCCATTTCGTGTCGTTTTAGTTTATCGTGAGTTTGAAAGATATTGGAATCAAAATAAGAGTAGGAGGATGTTGATAAATTCTATTTCATTTTGTTTAAATGACTTAAATATCTGATAACAGGTGATTGAAAGTTAAATATTTGAATGATATACAGTGGATGCTTACAACTAGCCCTCCCCCCCCTTCCCCGCCACGGATCCATTCACTTGACTTGATAAATAGCACAGTGGACATTTACGGCTAGTCCCTGGATTCATTCACTTGAGCTTATTATTTTGTTGTTTATTGTTTGAAATGTGTGTTTCGTCCACAGGTTTGTCTTGTTTATATTGTGTGTGTTGTCCACGGGTTTGTCTTGTGTATATTGTGTGTGTTGTTCATGGTTTTGTCTTGGGTATATTGTGTGTGTTGTCCACGGGTTTGTGTATTTTGTGTATATTGTATGTGTATGGTGCTGTCTCCCAGCAATGACTACTAATATTGTATATTTCCAGGAGTTTGTTTGAATCCAGTTTATGTAACAGTGGTCCGGATTTATCTGACTCTGAATTAAATCATTCCTTTGACATATATCTGGACATGGACTACGGTGAGTTCTACTTTTATTTTATTGAAGGTTTTATACGGAAGAATTTATAATAGTAATGTAGCTAAAATAGACAACACAATTGATATGTAAAACAATCACTGATTGTATACATATAGCACGACGCTTCAACAAGTATTCTCTTATCATTATCAATATAGGGAGAAGTTTCGTCCAGTGTAGTCCCGAAATGACCTAGTTTGTGTCGAGTGGACGTTATCCCCCCATTACTCTCTCTCTCTCTCTCAACCAGTGTTCTCTTATAACATTTATAACAATAAGAAATCATGTGTTGAAAACATCATGCTACATTAATGATTGTTTTCCATATAAATTGTGTTGTGTTTTTATTGTGTTCAATCGGTAAATGTCACTCAAGGCTTTTTAACATGTAGCCCACATGTATCTATAAACAGTTAGACTCCACTCCGCCCACTAAGGAACAAACTCAAACACATATTTATAGATGTATGAAAGGCCTCTTTTCCCTATTTTGTTTAAGAAATTTAAATTCAATGGTTCATTAGGATCGGCTTAAGAATTATAATAATATAAAGATCAGTCACCATGGATACCGGTTGTAATTGTTGATTGTTTATTATCTGTAGGTGCTCACAGAAGAAGATCTAACACGGCTCAACGTTTAGATAGACTGAGAAAAGATAAACGAAATCAACCAAAAGCTAAAACCTTTACCTGGAAGAATGGAGCTATATATAAAGGTATTATAAAAACATTGATAATTATTTTACCTGGACATTATTTTACCTGGACAAGCATGGAACATTATTGTAAACGAGGGCTGGCTGAAAAGTTCTAAGCCTATCCGTGAAAGATCTGTACAAAGTCGACAGTTTCCATTTTTTTTCTACATGGTCCTCTTCGAGGTGTACACACTTTTGCCAACGATGCTGCAAGGCCTGGATGCCGGCCAGGAAGAAGTTTTTTCGGTCACCTTAAAAGTCGTTCACAGCTGACATGACGTCATCATTATAAGGAAAATGATGACCGTCTTATTCATGACGGGGCCAAATTTGGTGAGTAAGGTGGATAGTCAATGAGTTTGAAGCCACAATCATGGATCACTGACATTGCAATCATTGATTTATGAACACGAGCATTGTATTGGTGAAGAGGGGTTTGGTGGCGGAATGGTTAACGAGTGCATGTTGTATCAGGTCTGCTATTGAGTCAAGTTGCGTGGTGTAAAGTCGCCTGTCCAACCTCATGGGTTTTCTCCAGGTCCTCCGGTTTCTTTCCAATGATAAGGATCCCTACGTGCATGCAAATTAATGAAATAAAATGGAACCATGTTAGTCTCGATATAACCTAGTTTGTGCTGTGTGGACCTTTAAACCCAATTTCTCTGTCTCTTTTGTCTTTGTAGAACAGGACGCGTTTAGTGAGCATTCACAACTGTCTCTGTAGGTCAGCATAATATCTTCCATTCATAGTCTGGCCTTTTTCAAGATAGTCAATAAGCAGAATACCCTTTGAATCCCAAAAGACTGAAGCCATCACCTTTCCAGCGGAAGGAACTGACTTGGCTAATGAATTCAGGTCTCATTCATGGTTACAAATCTGGCAAAAAAGTTATCAGGATCTGCATCCATCTTGCAGAAACTTTTGTCATTCCTAACTCGTTGGTGATAATGTGCTCAACCCTCTCCATCTTAGTCCTTTCAGTTGCAGGTACTTGCCCTATAGCCAGTTTGTATGTTTCCGTAGATTTCAGTGGGTAGGTTCACAAGAGACAATAATAACATTACAGTTGCAGTTCTATGATTCATTCAATGATTGGACTTGTTGGTGACAAGTGTTTGTCTCAACACAATTGGTCTATCCTTTTCAGGCTTAGAACTTTTCAGCCAGCCCTTGTATAATTATTATGCCTGTTATATTTGTTATATACAGATAGATGGGGTTTAAAGTCCACTCCAAACAAACTAGATCATTTTGAGACTAACATGTGGTGCAATTTTAATCAAATAATTCGCTTGTGCACAGGCATCTTTAGCAGTGGGAGGAAACCAGAGAAAACCCACAAGGTTGGACAGACAACCCTACTCCTTGTCACATACAAGCAGGGAATCGAAACCAAACCACTTGACTCATTGACAGACCTTATGATCTAAGTGCACACATTAAGACATTCGGCATCCCAACCACCTCATGTAAACACTAATTTGTTACTGAGTATTATTTATTTAGGAGGGTTGGATGGCCAACAGGGGCCATAATCAATGCTCATCTTCGGACTCCATCAAGATATTCACCTAATAAACACCTACACCAAATGGGGGGTTGAATGGTATTATTATTATTTATTTATTTATTTATTTATTTATTTATTATTTTTATTTATTACAGCTGATGAGAAAGGTCATCTATTTGAGAGAAAGGACGTAGCAAGCCAGAAACCAGTCGTAATAAACAATGGTAAAAAACCTTCTCGTTTATCCCAGATGATTGAAACTATTGGTGACAAGAGAGATAATCCTTTCATGGATTATGCACGATATGATGGAAAGGTGAGTTTATATTCACGTTTATATTTCTGAACAAAACAGACTAGGAACCATGGCGACTAGCGGCGACTAACGTTGGTATGAACCAAACAGACTAGGAAGCATGGTTACACATAATATACCTGTATCATACCTGTGTCAATGATCCCCCATTAACTAGACTTACATATTCCTTCTCAATCAAGGGATCGCAGGGCTAAGTGGGTAAGACACTGGCTCGCTAGCCTGGAGGTCGGGTTTTCGATCCCTGCATTGGCCGAGAAAGTGAATCCCGATTTTCTGGCGTGGTTTCCCCTTGTCAGTGATGCAGGACGAAGGGCCTGACAAGGACAGCTGTCTAGTCGTTCGCATGGGACAAAAAACCGAGGTCCCGTGTACACATAAGCGTGCACGTAAAAGATTCCTTGGCAGTTGGAATTCAATATAAGAGTAGGCCGTAGCGCCGCTGCCCGGGCAAAATTTCTCTCATAGCAAACTGTATGACGTATGCCCGTCTTCATTAGCCCAGATTAGGAGCAGAACAGTAGGACGTTAAACCCCATTTCATTTCATTTCCTTCTCAGTCAGAGGTTGGCCAAATGATTTAATATGTACGCATTAGATCATAAGGTCTGTCGTTGAGTCAAGTGGTTTTGACTCCCTACTTGTACGTGACAAGGAGAGTTGGGTTGTCTGTCCAACCTCGTGGGTTTTCCCCGGGTCCTACGACATCTCTCTTGTCAATTTTCTTTGATTTTCTCCTGCTAAAGACCCCTACATGCAAGTGAATTACTGAAATAAAGTTGAACCAAATAACTGTATGGAAATAAACTAGTTTGTGCCAAGTAGACATTAAACCTCATTTCTCTCATTCTTCGTCATTCCATTACTAAACTGAGGTGGGTGGTTGGATGGCTGAATGGTTAGCGTGTGCGCGCTGTATCATAAAGTCTGTCATTGAGTCAACTGGCGTGGTATCGATTCCCCAGTTGTACGTGACAAGGAATAGGGTCGTCTGCCCAACCTCGTGGGTTTCCTCCCACTGCTAAAGACCCCTAAGTGCAAGCGAATTATTGAAATAAAATTAAACCATATGTTAGTCCCGAAGTTAAGCCCCAAAATAAAAACATGGCAAGTCATAGATGGCATTCAACCATAGACACAGACTAGTCATAGACACATAGAATGACTCAAACTAAATAAAGAAAAACACAGCTATCAACTTACCAGTAGACATCAGTGAATACTCAATTGGGATCACATGGCTTTTCACATTTTCTTAGTGTGCCGTTCAAAATTGCGCGGCACACTGGTTGAGAATCACTGCCATAGGTATTTGATCTTGTACTTTGTTTTTTTCAGTCAAGTGCTGGGGTAGCTACCAAAAGAATAGATATTTATTTAACCATGCTACCACCGAAAGAACGTTCATACCCCATGCCAGTGGTTGTCATAGCAACAGCCAAGGTCTATGATTTGATTGGCTTAATTTGCTGGCAGTACACCAATGAAAACCGTTCACCAAAACTCAAGTAAGAATAACTTTCATTTCTAGTTGAATCGTATCAGAAATGAAAATGAAATGAGGTTTAACGTCCTACTGTTCTGCTCCGACTGGGCTAATGAAGACAGGCATACACCATACAGTGTGCTATGAGGGAAATTTGGTCCGGACAGCGGTACCACGGCATATTCTTATATCGAATTCCAACTGTCAAGGTATTTTTTACGTGCATGCCAATGTGTACACGGGGCCTCGGTTTTTCATCCATTCTGAATGACTAGACAGCTATCCTTGTCAGCGTCTTACCCACTTAGCCACTGTGACCGCCTATCAAAAATGATATATTTAAGTGATAGTTGAAATATGCCATATTAGAGATAGTTTAGGCAAAGAGAGAAAAAATAGAGAGGGAAAGGAACGGGTGAAATGAAATTGGTTTATATATTTTGTAGTTCGTTAACCAGGAGATCTGTGTTTTCATCCTGATGTTGGCCAGGTAGTTTTTATCATAATTTCACCATATCAGCAGTGTAGGATAGAGGACCTTGACCACACTGATCAGTGGTGTAGGATAGAGCACCTTGACCACACTGATCAGTGGTGTAGGATAGAGGACCTTGACCACACTGATCAGTGGTGTAGGATAGAGGACCTTGACCACACTGATCAGTGGTGTAGGATAGAGGACCTTGACCACACTGATCAGTGGTGTAGGATAGAGGACCTTGACCACACTGATCAGCAGTGCAAGAGCCTTGACAAGAAGAGAGAGAAAGAGAAATGGGGATTAACGTCACTCGAAACAAACTAGGTCATTTCGGGACTAACATATGGTTTAATTTTATTTACATAAATTGCGCGTAGGGGTCTTTAGCAGTGGGAGGAAACCGGAGGCCCCGGAGAAAACCCACGAGGTTGGACAGGCGACCCTACTCCTTGTCACGTACAACCGGGGATTCGAAACCACGCAAGTCGACTCAATGACAGACTTTATGATACAGCGCGCGCACACTAACCATTCAGCCAATCAACCCCCCCTAACAAGAAGAGACAATGTCTGGTAGTTAGGAAGTACCAAGTACACATGGACGTAATAGAACATCTGTACCAAATTGACTTCATAGCAGACTGTATGCCCGTCTTCATTAGTCCAGTTCCGTGCAGAATAGTAGGACGTTAAACCCCATTTCATTTCATTTCATTTTCATTTATACTAACCAGGTTAAAGAAGATTGGGGGGGGGGAGGGGGGGATATAGTGTTGGATAAAATCAAGTTCATATTGAATTTAAATACAAGATTTTCACATTCATGGTTTTAAAGTAATGCCTGATATTTTGACCAACATATTTAAATTTATTTGTTTTGTTTTTCCAGTCCCAAGTTTGAGATTTATTCTCTACATATAGCAGAAGATGATGGGGAGGTTGATTCTGATTTCCCGAGTCTGGATAATAGAGAACCAATGTCTAAGTTTGGTTTTAGTAAATTAGCATTGGTTGAGAGATCTCCCGCTAGTATTACACCACGATCTTTAGCTCTAGTTACAATGTACGTAAAAATAGTCCTTCTATATTTCACAGAATTTACGCTTTTTGTAATTCTGGAACAAAATCTAAACAACCATTTGAAGGAAGCAAAGGCCTAATTTTAAAATGTTAAAAAGTCCAAGGAAACTATTACATTCCAAGCGGGTGCTTTTTTATTGGAGATTGGTTTGTAATGAAAAAAATGTTGTATCTGAACATAAAAAAAACTTTAAACATACGTTATGCAAGAGCTAAATCGGCCTATTGCAGGTCTTTCTTTAGGCCTCAAATGTTATATAAACTATTAATTAGACATTTATTAACTTATCCAGACCATAATCAACTCTAGATGGCATCGGATACTCGAGATTTTAACTAGATTAAAACGGTTCGCCATTTATGAATTTAATTTAAAAATGGGAAAGCGAGGCTAAGTCTTGAATATACCAGTGCCTTGGTTACCACAATGCACACATCTTGTCAAAACTACAAACAGTGATAACTTGGCTCAGAATGAAGTAATTTGAATGAAATTTTCAATATTTTCATTTTACATTATCTATTTTTGAGCTATTATAGCAAGAATGGTCAGCTCTATCTAAATCTTGCATAATGTATGTTTAATAGTTTGTGCGTCAGCCGACACAAGTCTATCATTTTGGTCATAATTATTATGAATTTTCTTGTAAGGAAACATTTTCTTTTTTCAGACATATCCCAAATCGTGGTTTTAACAAGTTCCAGGTGGATGACGATAATCTGCCGCTTCGTGAGATGATGGAAAAAGTTTTACGCCGAAGAAAGATTAAATTACGACCTGGTTTAAAATACAACTTAGAAAAACTGAACGATCCGGGTATATCGGTGGATCTCGATGCTACGTTAATGTCTCTCGATACGCTAGAGTTTGTTCTCATCAGGGAAAACAGTAAGTAGATGTAGCTTTAACCCATTGAACATGTGTGGCTTGATTTCCATCCATTCCCACAAGCTTTAATCCTTTGAACATGAATAGCTTGATTGCTGTCCATTCCCACAAGCTTTAACCCTTTGAACACGGGTGGCTTGATTTCCGACCATTCCCACAAACTTTAACCCTTTGAACACGGGTGGCTTGATTTCTGTCCATTCCCACAAACATTAACCCTTTGAACATGAAGTAATGTCGCCTGCCAAACCTATTGGGTTTTCTCTGGGTCCTCCAGTTTCCTCCCATTGACCTCTACGCTCATGAAAATTGTTGAAATAAAGATGTGCCCTAGGTTGGATTTCCACACGTTTCTGCAAGTATAGTCCTAATCCATTCACTTCTCTCCAACAATCTATGTTTTTACGAAGTTTAAGTTTGTAAAAACTTCTCCAAGAGGGGGGTTGGATGGCCGAATGGTTAGCACATGCGTGCTGTATCATACGACCTGTCATTGAGTCAACTGACGTGGTTTTGAATCCCCGGTTGTACGTGACAAGGAGTAGGGTCGCCTGTCCAACCTCGTGGGTTTTCTCCAGGTCCTCCTGTTTCCTCCCACTGCCAAAGACCCCTACGCGCAAGCGAATTATTGAAATAAAATTAAACCATATGTTAGTCCCGAAATGACCTAGTTTGTGTTGAGTGGATGTTAAACTCCATTTCTCTCTCTCTCTCTCTCTCTCTCACTTCTCCAAGATCAATAAATAGAGTGGTCTAGCACACTTGCTTTAGATCATAAGGTCTGTCATTGAGTCAAGTAGCGTGGTTTTGATCCCAACCTTGTATGTAAGAAGGAATAGGGTCGCCTGTGAAGCCTAGTGGGTTTTTTCCCCCGGGTCATCCAGTTTCCTCCTGTTGCTAAAAACCCAAACTGAGAAGCAAGTCATTAAAATAGAATTGTACATTATATTAGTCCGAAAATGACATATTTATGTCTCGGAAGTCAAGAGATCGACAAGAAGAGTCAACTCCCTAAACTATTGCGTTGATTGATTGATTTATTGATTGATTGATTGACAGGTGCCCGAGACGATCAAGATAAATATAAAAACAACATATCATCAGATGTCGCGGAATCATTGACGAGTCATCAATATAAATCATACATGGTTAATCTAGTTCATAAAATACGAACTAATACAGAAGTTTTACTAGGTAAATATACTTCCTTTTATCGTTAATACACTTCCTTATATAGAACACAATAGTTAATATACTTCCTTATATAGAACACAATAGTTAATATACTTCCTTATATAGAACACAATAGTTAATATACTTCCTTATATAGAACACAATAGTTAACATACTTCCTTATATAGAACACAATAGTTAACATACATTCTTATATGATATATACATAGGATGCAATTCCTGTTTATTGCTGAATAAAAGATCCTTTGACAGTTGGAATTCGATATAAGAGTAGGCCATAAACAGGGCTGCCGACAACCAGTATCGCAGCGCAATTTGCGATACATATTTTGTCCATTGCTAATCAAAAATTAAAATCTAACGTTTTTGATTCGCAGTAACTGCGAATCATTAATATGCCTGTCATTTTGGATATTGACACAAAGATTTATCCACATTTCTCAACACTTTCAACGTGTATAAAATATCAAAAAAATGTTATAAACAAAACGGAATTCTCTGTGTGACATTTTCTTCTCGAACTACCCAGATTCAATTCATTATACTATATAATACAGGGACATAACTCTATGAATCGGGACGATTAAACCGGAAATAGGGAATCAAGTAGTACCACTCACGTTGCGAGACATGCCAATTTCGAGTAATTATATCAGTATTCAATTTGAAAAAAAATAAATTCAGTGTATCCCCCACGTATTGTAAATAAAATATAAAAAATAAATACGTGTAAACGTATTGTAAAATGAGAAATCAAAGTAAGAATTCCCGTAAACTATTATTGTTTATATCGCGTGCATCTAGTTAATCGAGATTATTCGTAAAATACCGCGTGCTTCCGATTGAACAAAAATAATAACACACGATAAAAAGCAGACGAAATTGTTTTTTAACGAAGAAAGAAGCCACTGCCAAGAATTTGCTTCAGACATAAGGCCTAACCAAAAGTCTACATTCATTCAGAAATGTTCACAGCTACCTGTAGAAGTTCTAAAATTCTAAAAAATCTTAAGAATGAAATCTAATCATTTGTTATCAATTAAAATTAAAATAATCTTGTTATTTAGGTGTTTTATGTTGAAACTGAAAAACTGCTAATCAATTTTTAAATTTGCTAATCAAATTTGGCAAAATTGGACTTTTTGATTAGCAGTGCTGCTAATCATCTGTGAAAAATTACCGACAGCCCTGGCCATAAAGCCGCTTTGTCCGGGCAAAATTCTCTCATAGCACACTGTATATGCCCGTCTTCATTAGCCCAGTTGGAGCAGAACGGTAGAACGTTAAACACTGTTTTATTTCATTTCTATTTGTTTGGTTTATTACCGTACTGAGTGATGTTTCTACTAGGATTCTCTAGTCTAGATCAAGTCTAAACGTCGCTCAGTAATAAACAGTAGTTGTTGACCTGTATATTTAATAATAATTCTAGATACTAACCTCTAGATTAGGGTAGTCATTGTGATCTCTATATTCAATTACTAAAAGTTATTGAGAAACAAGATATTTTAATAGTTACTAGCAGGATACCCAGCTTTGCTCGGGGGTCATAACTTCGAAACCGGAAGTGGTAGACTAACGCCACCTGGCCTATGTTACTCCCCGGTCCGGGCTACCCCTATACCCAAAATTTCAGACTCGGGGCAGACCTAGTGTAGCTGCCAACCCCGAACAGACAGACAGACAGACAAACAGACAGACAAACGACAGTCACAAATATTAGTATAGAAGATAGTGGTCTTGTAGTGTAAATACTCTCTCTATGGAATTCAAACGGGGAGAATCTGTCGTTGATAGTTTGATTTCTTAATTAATAATAATGATAATAATAATAATAATAATAATAATAATGATTGTCTTATATAGGGCTACATTATGTCCAATGGTTATTTCTAGATGCTGTTTAGCTACATTGTATATTATATAGAAAGTATCTATAGAGTATATTTATAATCACACTACTAGTACAACTTATTAAATAGATTAGTTTTTAAAACAGATTTAAATTCCTACATTAAACAATCAATTTAATTACATTTTAGCCTTAAGGAAATTTTTGTCAGATAATGGTGCTATGGTCGACTTTTATCAATATCAAATTCAAAAGGGTTCTTTTACGAACTTGCCAATGTGTACAAAGGAGCTCAGATTTTCTTCCCCTATAAAAAATATCTTAAAATTTATTTAATTTCACCTGTTTAATGAACATAGTTTTATTTACCGGGTAAAATCTGAAATGCATGTAGTTAATTCTGCCTCTCTAATGTAACAATATTGATACACTGGGCAAACCTCAGCAGATACAAGTGCCCTACATCTAGCCTCGGCTGTATGACAAAGTCCGCCATTGGAACTACTTTCAAGTTCCCGGATTACCAACGGCGTTGCCCATGACGACGCCTTTGAAGAATGTTTTCATACAAATATTTCAAATTCTAAAGCTGTTTTTCTTTCAAGTTTATCCGATTTTTTTCAAACAAGGACCACTTTGCACTAAAAATTCTACCCACGCTTTAAACAAAGCAATTCTAATATGTAAACCGGTGCCGCATCGCAATTGCAAAGACGTAGGTACATATCACTTACCGCCATAAGCCGAGGCTAGATGTAGAGTAATGGAATCTGCCGAGGTTTGCCGAGTGAATATTGATAGAAACCACTGATGGAAGCTAGGTCGTTATTGGTTGAAAAAAACAGAATCGACCAATGATAAAGTAATAGTAACCTGCTATGTTAGTATTAGAGGAAGTATTAATACCAATCTGATTAAAATACTGGGCAATTCGATTGGCTGACCATTAAAATCAATTTGCATATACCCAATTTGCATATTGGTCAGCCAATCGAATTGCAGTATTTCTTAAAATTTCGATTGTATCTTAGTTTAAGTTTTCGTGAATAAGGGCCCAGATCTATGTTTCGTTTCGTTTTTTTATACTTTTGATGGCCTACACTATATGAAGATCTGACCAGTTGTAGTGGAAAGTCGTGTTAGGGGTCATACGAGTGGCTTATGAAACTATGACGTCAGGCACTGTTCCATGCAACTCACACCAAAGACTTGCCATAACAGACCATTACATTGGCTAATTCCTCACATCAACTAGAACACCTGTTATATAACAACTCTTCCAGATCCTACTGTAGTAAAGACAAGTTAAACGATATTTTGGACTATAAAAAACAAAACGAAATAGGATCTGTGTTTTAATTAGATTGTATGAATACTAACCAGGATGTGACTTGTAAGGAGAATGTTTTTAATGATAATACAGGTGAGTTTTTCCCATACCTGTATATTATTTACCTGTTATTTATCACCAGGTGTAAGTGGTGAGAAAGTGGAGATTGATCCTATTAGTAGTAAGGGGTCAACTAGATTATTTCGTCAACGAGCTTTCACATTCGATGCTGATCAAATTGCAGATTGTCATTTACTGGAACAAAAATCAAACGGTGAGTTTAAAAATATAAAAAATTTATGTTTATATCACATAAAACTCAGTTCCTTTTGATATTGATGCATGTTGGACCGTAACATCCTGGATTATGACCCCTTATTGTTCAAAAAATTGCCTTTTTAGCCTGTTCTCTGTCTCAAATGTAAGTCTGCTAATGAAATGAGTATAACATTATAAATGACAGTTAGACATAAATTTCTAAACTAATCTAAATATGATATAGTGAATCAGGCCCATTTTTCTAGAATAAATCAACGCACCCATCGAAAATCGAAGTTCATCAGTCCACATGCAATTATCCAAAAAGCCTTTAGACTTTTCTCGAAGAACAACAAGGCCTTATTGAAGAGAATTACAATAATCCACGCCAGAGACAAACTCGACGATCACCGGCTAACAAGATGTGTGGCAAGAGAATATATCACACGCCGAATGTGGTGAACGATTTGATAGCACCACTTAGCCCAGTCGATGTAGAAAACGGAGACGTTAAACCTTATTTTGTTTCATCTTCTGTGCCATTTTATATTTAATTAGGTTTATATTTTACTTTCAGGTAAATCGGTGTTACGCCTAACTTACATGTTAGATGCCGATTTCAAACATCATGACTTCGAAGCTGAACACAGCGTATCGGCAGAAATCGTACAAAAAATCAATCATATATTAGAACTTCGTCTCAGTTCTGCGCGAAAAGACTTTGTCACTCATCAAGAGAAACGATTATCAATGAGACGTAAGGATTCGTTTAGACACAGCTAGCATTACGAGTTTTCTCATCAAACAATTGTTTTTAAATGTGAATAGATATGTTGTGAAGGTGGTAAATGGAAGTCAAAATCCAGTTTCTTTCAATTTTTATAACTCGACTTTCTTTTTGTTTGAATGATCGATTGATAGGTCGATTGATTGGTCGATCGATTGATAGGGTTGGTGTCACATGGACATTAACTAAAAATTGTTTTTAGTTAGAGATAAGCCAATAATTGATAACGACATCGTTATCTGCTCAACTGAGTATTTACTATTTATACTGTAGCCATTTTAAAAAGGCAAAATGACTGACTGTTTTATATTGATAGTCAATAATTAATGACTGACTGTAGTCAAGTGGCAGACAATATTAAATGAATGACTGTGGTCAAGTGACTGTCATTATTAAATTGGTCAAGCAAGTGACTGTCAATATTAAATGACTGACTGTAGTCAAGTGACTGTCAATATTAAATGACTGACTGTAGTCAAGTGACTGTCAACTATGGTTAAGTGACTGTCAATATTAAACCACAGATTAAACACTCTAAACAATTATTTTCTCTACAATCAAGGTGTGTCTATCTTTTAATTTTTGTTTTGAGTAATAAAAGAAATGATGTCACTACAGAGTATATACAGAGTATATATTGTGAAATATTTTGCATAATGTTTAACTATGCCTGAATAATCTATGAATGATGCATCAATATATTTGTCTGATATGTGAATATTGGTTTTATCTAAGGACATATAATTTAAGTTAGAAAGGTTACATCTGTAAAACAAATCAACACATCAGATTTAAATAAATCAGCACTCGAAAACGTCTACGCAAATTAAAGAGCAATCATAGAAATCAACACTTTAAGTTTAAACGTCTGCGCAAATTAAACAGAGACATCCACGCAAATTAAAGAGGTGATAAAATTTTAGGAAACAATGATGTTGCTAAAGAATAACAAGAATATTTCACTGTTACCTTGGTATCATTTCATTTTGTGTATTTAGCCCCAAGTTCCTTCACATTCATTCAATATCTAATCTTTCTTATTAAATAAATGCGAAAAAAATTAGGGCTAAATATGCAAGATGAATGGGAATAAAGCGTATTTCTCAAGGAATCTAATTTGATAATAACAGATTCGAACAGATTCGGAATTTAATCTGTAAACAAATAATCAGAAATGGTAACGGTTACCAAGGGTTACCAGATATTTGGTTTGTTGTTTTATATAATTAGTTAATTATGATATGTGTACAGTTGATGTTCTGTTGAATTTAGAGGGAGTTGGGTGACCGAATGATTAACGCTTGAGGGCTGTCAGTGAGTTAATGTGGCGTGGTTTTGATTCCCCGCTTGTACGTGACGAGGAGTAGGGTCACCTGTCCAACCTCACAGGTTTTCTCCAGCTCCTCAATTTTCCTCCCATTGCTAAAGACCCCCAAGCGCAAGAGAATAATTGAATTAAAATTGAACATTATATTAGTCCCGAAATGACCTAGTTTGTGTCGATTGTTATTAACTCCCCCACCCTCTCTCTCTCTCTCTCTGTTGAATTTAGTGAATTAGATATGCAATAGCGTTAAATAAAACATCAGTGTAACAAGCCGGATACTGGCTCATGTTTAAATCTGTACAACAGTTTAGGCAATAAACCAATCAAATTTATCTCATATAGCTTAATGGAGCTAAATTGCTAATATTTGGGACCTAGAAATTGACACAAATGGGTCGCAACGCATATAATAATGTAATCTGATTGTATATAAACTGATTTACATTCAGTTGTTTCCGTTTTGACTCTAATTTCAAATCAGTTAGGTCCAGCAAAATACGGCATGAGTCTCGAATAGAAATTTCTAGCGTCTGGTTATTCCAGTCAATTGCGCATGCTCTCCAGATAAGTTATGGCATCGCCGTATGACATGACTCATGAATTGTGGAATATGTCTAGCCTTGCTCTTTCTGGTCACTTGTTACAAATGACAATGAAACGCACTATGGTACACGATATTTATTTTGTCTTAATTATTGGATATCAGAATCCTACTTTTACCCGGTAAGATAAAAACATCAATGTTGATTTGAATTGACAAATAATTCGTGTTTTCAACTTGTAAGACTTTGGATGATATTGAGTTAGAGACTTAGCTACTTTAAGTAAATAATAGTATTAAATTAAATAAGACTAGATTATTATAAGTAAATGATAGGCCAGGTAAATGATAGGTCAGGTAAATGATAGGTCAGGTTCAGGTAAATGATAGGTCAGGTAATTGATACGTCAGGTAAATATCTATCCGGTAAATGATAGGTCAGGTAAATGACAGGTCAGGTAAATAATAGGTCAGGTAAATGATAAGTTAAGTAAATAATAGGTCAGGTAAATAATAGGTCAGGTAAATGATAGGTCAGGTAAATAATAGGTCAGGTAAATAATAGGTCAGGTAAATAGGTCAGGTAAATAATAGGTCAGGTAAATAGGTCAGGTAAATAATAGGTCAGGTAAATGATAGGTCAGGTAAATAAGTTAACTAATTGATAAGTGAAGTAAATGATAAGTTAGGTCAGGTAAACGATAAGTTAACTAAATGATAGTTTAAGTAAGGATATATATAGTAAGGATAGGATGGGTAAGGATATGTTTAGTAAATGATAGTTTAAATACAGATATTCTTAGTAAGGATAGGTTGGGTAAGTATAGAATGGACAAAGATAGGTTCAGCAAATGATAGATTGAGTAAGGATAGGTTGGGTAAGGATTTAAGTAAGGACAGATTAATATGGATAGGCCCAGTTAGAATAGATTCATAATCAGACAATTGTACAACCAATAAATGTCCGACAACTGCCATGGCAACAAGTTAAATGGCTGATGTGCCATGGCAAGAGGTTAAATGTTTTCCAAGCTCATGACATAACTGTGGGAGATCGATGAAGAGAATATTTGATTATATTGCTTCGCTTCCAGCCGAAATCAAACTTCCAATAAATTACTTTAAATAGTCATTTGTTAAAGTTATAAAAGAATTAGTTTCATGACATAATTAATTGTTGTGTTGAAGAAGTCCTGTAAGAGGGAGCCACTGTAGAACGTATCAAATACGACTCAGGGCTAAATCTATTTGTTAAGGCCAGTCCAATTTTTGTCACAGTCGCTGAGATGTAAATAAGGTTAGGGCACGTGATTGTTGGCGAGATTGTAGGTTAGGTTTAAGAATTTGGGGGAGAGGTTAAGTCTCCACATAAGCACTGACCTAGGATGATGAATTTCCTAGCATAGAGGCTAGGTCCAGGGTTAGGGTTAGGATTAGCACTAGCCCTGTTTGCAGCTCGTGACCCCTGACGAAACAATTGAGCTGGCCTTATCATTTAGGACTAACCTACGACCCAGGTTCTAATTTCATCATGGGTGAAGAAATATAATATATATATACATATATTTTTATTATTTCTATGATATATTTGTTATGGTATATTTTGTTATTGTAAAATAATGTTTTATTATAAAAAATAAACAAATTATTATAAACATGTTGATGTATCAGTGTTTTTTTTGTAGAGGGTATGGATGTTAGCGCTTAGGGCACTGCCAGGACATTCTCCCTAGCAGAGTTATCTACCGAAATGAAATGGTAATGAGATGGGGTTTAACCCGTTAAGCGTGACGTTTTTAAAATATTAACTACCCCCTATTGTGTAATTAATTTGACGAAGTGACAAAGAACTACATGTATGTACTATGTTCTAAGAATATACCTCCAAGGCATTATATTATGCCCTACACACAGTGAGTGGCAGTTGTCAAGGACGTTATATAACGACCTACGCACTTAACGGGTTAACGTCCAACTGTTCTGCTACAACTGAGCTAATGAAGACGTGTATACGCCATACAGTGTGCCATGAGGGAAATTTTGCCCGGACAGCGGCATTTAGGCCTACTCATATCGAATTCCAACTGCCAAGGGATCTTTTACGTGCACGCCAATGTGTACACAGGACCTCTGTTTTTTGTCCCATCTGAACGACTAGACGGCTGTCCTTGTCAGGCCCTTCGACAGCCCCTTCGTTCTGTAACTTTGACAAGGTGGAAACCATGTCCGAAAATCCTGATGAACTTTCACAGCCAACACCGGGAGCAAACCGGCAACTGCTGGATATGGAGATGTGCTCGAGACAATGATACAAATCTGTATCACACAGTTATTTCTAAAGCCTTCTTATACCTCTGTATTAGATAACTGACCTTTATAAGTTCAAGTATTTGACATCACATCAAGGCGAGTCCATCATTGGCTCTATATCGCAGGCATTGTTTACATAAGACGTTGTGTTAACCAGTCAAGACAGAATGGTGGTTTTTACTAATTTTCTATACCCAGTTACACTAAATAGGAAATAATATTGTTTTTATCCAGATATACTCCAAACACCTTTTTTTTTCTCTAATACTCCCAAAAAATATGTTTTAGAATCTAATTTGCAGATGAACTCCCCAAAAATTTAATTTGCAGAAGGAAAAAAGTTCATATTGTGAGGTAATTAACCTGGACTGATGTCATCTGTCTTTAATTGTAGTGACCTAGCGAATATTCACTGCTGATCAGTGTGACAATAATACCACAGGTGACACATCCGGGGATTCAACCCAGAAGGAAAACGTAACATCTTACTATATGAACCAGGAACCAACCATGATGTCATAGCGCACCCATCTTGGAATTGTCATGTCACCGTTTTGTGTGAAACGATTCTCTTGTTGTAATGCCTGGGTAAAATTCCTCCCCTCACATGGCATAACTAATAGTGCACTGTGAGACTGGGTTGATGACACTATCAGATCATATTTCAGGTTAGCGTATAAAAATACAGGTATATTCGTCTCTAAATCACTTGGAGTCACGGTGGGTAAGACGCATGGAGGTCGCATGTTCGATCCCTGCATTGGCTGAGAAAGTTTGAGATTTTCTGGTGTGGTTCCCCCTTGTCAGTGGGGCAGGACGAAGGGCCTGACAAAGACAGCTGTCTTGTTGTTCGAATGGGACGGAAAACTGAGGTCCCGTGTAAACATTGGTGTGCACGTAAAAGATCCCTTGGCAGATGGAATTCGATATTAGAGTAGGCCATAGTGCCGTTGCCTGGGCAAAATTTCTCTCATGGCACACTGTATGGCGTATGCCCGTCTTCATTAGCCCAGTATAGGAGCAGAACAGTAGGACGTTAAACCCCCATTTCATCATTATAATGAGCACAGAGTGGGCCTCGGGTTTCACTTCCACTCTCCATGTGTTACCAACTGGCATCATCCTAACAGAGCCTAATAAAGACTTGGTGGGCCCCTCAATCTCATACCCCATTATTTCCATTTATTTTATTTTTTAAAGACAAAACAAAACATGAAATTAATCATTCGGAGTAAGTAATGACTTGGGATAGGTTTTGTATATATAATTGGTAATTATCAATCAACTAATCATTAATCCACAACAATTGGTAAGTATTACTCATTGACACGGTTTGGATTATCAGCGAGTTCATTAAGCAGCCACGTGATTGACACTCAATTTAAAGGTTAATCTAGGCTATATATGATCAGAATTTTAAGATTTTTTTCCGCCAGTTCTCAAAAATAATCGCCAGTACCCCGAAATGTTATCACCAAAATCAAATTTTAATCACCACTTTCATATTTTTATTGCAAATTGCGACTTTGGCGACAGACAACGTGAGCCCTGCCCGCCTTCATTAGCCGTGTTGGAGCAGAAAAGTACTCTTTGTCTAATTCTAACTGCCAAGTGTTATTTTTACCTGTTTTCACAGGTGTACACAGGAACCTGTTTTTACCTGTATTCAAATGTGTACTCAGGAACTTGTTTTTTTTTCATCCATCCGATGGACTAGAACCTGTATCGTGCAACTAACAAGGAGGAAGCATGTTGATGAATCCCGAGGTACATCTCAGCCTACACCAGGATTGAACCAGAGACCTCCGGAATATTGAGCGAGCACCTCATTCACTGAACACTCGTGGGTTTTTATCTATCTGATTAAAACACAGATCTATATTTCATTTCGTTTTTTTATACTTTCAATGACCTACACTACATGAAGATCTGACCGGTTGTAGTGGAAGGTCGCATCAGGTGTCATACAAGCGTCTTTTGGCCCTATGACGTCAGACATTTGATTAACCATTTGACATTTCTAGTAGGATACCCACAGTTCCGTGCATCGCACCCCAAAAACTCGCTGCAACAGACCATATCATTGGCTAAACCCTCACATCAACCAGAACGCAGGTTATATAACAACTCTTTCAGATCCTAGTGTCGTAAAAGACAAGTAAAACGAAATTTTGAACTATAAAAAGCGAAACGAAATAGGATCTGTGTTTTAATCAAATTGGAATTTAATATAACATAAAAGTAAATTTTATTTGTTCTGTGATATCATCCCCTCATTTAACATCTTAGCCCAGTATAGGAGCAGAACAGTAGGACGTTAAACCCCATTTCATTTCATTTTATTTCATATAACATCTTGATATATAATTTGTTTTATTCCACAGAATATTGTTCTCTTTATTAACATACAATTAAAAATAAATAAATTCATATATTTATATTATTTATACATATAACACCATATAATCACACAAATAAATCGACTGGATTCTCGGGCATTCAGGTGGAATTCTGGGAAATTTATTATATAATAAAATAGACTGTAACCCTAGTTTTTGTCGTGCGGGAGCACAGTCTTTTATTTTTAATGTATGTGATGAAATTTCAACAAAAATATATCCAATCTCAGCCATATCTTTTAAACGTGGAAATAAAAATCATATCCATGCCCTGTATTTTTCATGAGTGGGCGCCACTGGGCGGTGACCGAGAACCTATTCATTTTATGAATGATAAATTTACATATTATGCCCTTTACACTATACTACATAATAACTGTTGAATGACGGGGGAGGGGGTAGCTAGTCTACTGGTTAATGTTATATAAATGATGGGGGGGATATAGCAAGTCTACTGGTCTATATTATATAATTGTTTAATGATGGGGAGGGGGGGCGGGGGTATTATATAAGTTTTAAATGACAAATTTTTATCCTTTTACACTATATTGCATAAGTTTAATGAACCTTGGACGGACGGACAGAGCTGATCCCTTCCTATTAATATTAATAAAATCATATGTATATAATAATGGGGTGTTTATTTATGTTGATGTAGTAACAAGAGATTTGTCACAGTCTATCAATAATACTCTATCGCCTATTGCAGGTCTTTCTTTAGGCCTGTAATGTTACCTAAACTATTAATTAGACATTAATTAACTTATCCAGACCATAATCAACTCTCAATGCCATCATTAGCCTGCGATCTTTAGTGGATTTGAATACCTTTTGTGATGGATAATTTAACGTAAGAATGGATAATCAAAACTTTGTTTATTATAGAACTGACGTTAGTAATGACGATCGAGGCTAGCCTAAAATTAATTCATTAATAGTTGGTTTCACAGTGAAGCAATTTGACTGAAATTTTCAGCATTTTTTGTTTTCATTATGTATATTTTAACTATTATAGCAAGAACTGTTAGCTCTTTAAGTAGCGTGGTTTTCAAACCCACACTTGTACATGACAAGGAGTATTCTAGGGTTCCTCTGATTTCTTCCCATTGCTAAAGACCCCTTTTGGGTCTAACATATGGCACAATTTTATTTCAATAATTCGCTTACAGGTAGGGATCTTTAGCAGTGGGGGAGGAAACCGGAGGACCCAGGCAAAACCCAGGTGACCCTACTCCTTGTCACGTACCAGCTGGGAATCGAAACCACTTGACTCATGTTCAAACGGGGAATTAAAACCATGGCGATCACTTAATGACAGACATTGTGATCTAAAGTTCACACGATAAACAATTCAGCCACCAAAATTCATAGGAATCAATAAATGCCAAAAGATCAAATTTATGAGAAGTACAAGTTAATGCTTTAAAAGATATTGCCCGTCTTCATTACCCCAGTCATGACATTAAAAACCCATTTCATTTCATATTGTCCAACCTCGTGGGTTTTCTCCGGGTCCTCCGGTTTCCTCCCACTGCTAAAGACCCCTACGCGCAAGCGAATTATTGAAATAAAATTGAACCATGTGCTAGTCCCGAAATGACCTAGTTTGTGTTGAGTGGACGTTAAACCCCATTTCTCTCTCTCTCTCTCATTTCATATTAAAAGATATTGTACATTGTGAAAATATTCACGGATCTCTGTGTCAACGTAAACCACTACAAAATCTGCTTGAATCGTGAGTTTAACCTTAAAACATTTGTATATGACTAATAGATTCAGAGTTTTATATCATAGTTGTCTTTAATCTACATTGAACATGCCTAATAAAAATCTAAAACTAATTTTTTTTAAAAGGGCTTCACCCACGTAATAATTCTTCTCCTTTAGATTAAAGGGTTTCACCCACGTACAGATCCTTCTCTTTTAGATTAAAGGGGTTCACCCACGTAATGATCCTGCTCCTTTAGATTAAAGGGGTTCATCCACGTAAAGATCTTTCTCCTTTAGATTAAAGGGCTTCACCCACGGAAAGATCTTTAGATTAAAGGGCTTCACCTATGTAAAGATCTTTAGATTAAAGGGCTTTACCCTCGTAAAGATCTTTAGATTAAAGGGCTTCACCCACGTAAAGATCTTTAGATCAAAGGACTTCACCCAAGTAAAGATCTTTAGATTAAAGGGCTTCACCCACGTAAAGATCTTTAGATTTAAGGGCTTCACCTACGTAATGATCTTTAGATTAAAGGGCTTCACCCACGTAAAGATCTTTAGATTAATGGACACACGGATGTATCAATAGATACACTTGGACCACGGAATGATAAGTTGGTACTGCTATATGACAGAACCAGGGTTGATTAACCAACATACATTATAAATATATATTTGATATAGTTGAGTATTGACCTTTCACCTTATAAACTACGACCCTACAAGAATGTTTATATGGGGGTGCTCAACAAGGAATTTGCGACAGTGGCATGCAGAGGGGGTGATGGCCTCCAGTATCTAATTCAACCGGGGAATTAATTCTTTTTTAAATTTGAAACTGTCGCTGTTAAGTTTGTTGTAGAAGCTGCCTTACTTATTTTATTTATTTTATCTGTTTCGGCATATATTTAAAATATTTCTCACATTTCCCAGTACAATGCCCGATACTTGAATCTTGGTGGTATACAGTAAGCTATTAGACTCTATACTTGGTGGTATACAGTAAGCTACTAGTCTCTATACTTGGTGGTATACGGTCAGCTAGACCCTATACTTGAGTCTTGGTGTGGGGGGAGGGGGGCAATAAAATGAAGGAATTGGCCTAGGGCATCACCAATCCTCTACATGCCACTGACCTGGAACATTAAAAAATCGAGTAACACAGAATCAGTGACTGACGTTATCGAATACGTAGAACTTGTTTCAGCTACAGCGATTGGTTGAGATAACACACGCAGAGTTCTCCTGTTCACACAATTGGTCGATAACGACAGAGCGACCTGAATTCCAGAATATTCGATCAATTGAGTACCCCCTATTAATTCTAGTAAGATGGTGGTATTATTTTAGATAATTGTCCTTTTCCTGCGGCTGGTTTTGCTCCGAACCACGACATCTTCCAATCTAATGTCTGCTGGACCAATCTCTGTTCTTCTGTCGAGAAATGTAATAAAACTGAAATGGCTTTCACTAACTGGATCGCCTGAAAAACATCAACGATTGCAAGGTTGAGAAAAAGGGGTTAGGTGATTTTGGGACTAACATATGGTACCATTTGAGTTGAACAATTTGTTTGCCTGTAGGGGTCTTTAGCAGTGGGAGGAAACGGAAGGACACAGGCAAAACCCACAAGGTTGGACAGGTGACCCTACTCCTTGTAATGTACAAGCTGGGAATCGAAACCATGCCATTTGACTCAATGACAAACCTCATGATCAAATGTGCACATGGAACATGTTAATATTCATTCTGGACGATACCATGGTGCTAGATGACAATCTATTGATGTGAAATCAACAACAGAATCTTACTTGGCTATCTGTTATTCAATGACCACCATTTCCATGCACAAACCTTTCACAGATCACTCAAATTTGTTCACTTTTAACCTCAAATTCTCAACCCCTGTAGACATTAATAGACTCACCTCACTTTCTCGACTTAACATAAACTTGAGAACAACATGTTTTAAATATTGTAGATTGACTTCTCGCTCCGGGAACCCTGGGGTTTTATCTTTAACGTAACCTGTGAACGCTCCAACGCGATCAAAATCCTCTTGACTCATTAAAATACCACTAGGAGGCGGCATGTGACTTGGTTGTTGGCATGACGATTTAGAGGCAGACACGGGTGGCATAGGTTTGACTTCTATTTGAGCAGGTTTGTTATTTTTACGGACGGGGAGTGGAGAGTTTCCACGACTACGATCCGAATCATCGTTAGGCAGTGATTGGACCTTTAACTCTCTCTGTAACGTCTGTCGTAAATCTTTTAACGTCTGCTCCTGTTTCTTCAATGCCTGTAAATACAACAAGATTCGCTGATAACCCTGAGACTAACACAATAATAATTAGGTTATTTTAGAACAAGCACAGTAATAATTTTGTGTTATCTTTAGTTTAAAAACACAAACTAGATTATTTTGGGACTAACATCTTAATTCCATCAATCTGTTTGACTGTAGAATAGGGATCTTTATCAGTGGGAAAACCGGGAGAATGCTAAGAAAACCAGAAGGTTAGAAAGTCAATCTGACTTGTTTAATATTAAGTGCTGGAGAAGAGCACTGCGGAGAAGACAAACTACATCACAAGAAATAAACAACAAATAAAGTTAATGGATCTTGTTTCCTGCTGTAACAGTCCCGGGCCTGTAATCATACAGGCTTCACTCAAATTGAAGATGTAACAGAAGTTGAAAGGGTGGTCCTCTATTGAAGGGCGATAGTCTGCAAGTTAACAATAAAGGCGATAATCCAGAAAGAACCTGACCAACTGACAAGATGAAATCCTAATTTCTGTACAATCCATGAAAAATGACCATATCTATAAAGGGGGGGGGGGGCAGGCTGTCTGGGAAGGGCTAAAATCTGTTGACAATTCAAGGATCATGATCTCCGTCACTATCGCACAGTCGTGAACCAACATTCTTCCTAACATCTACAATATTATAGTCAGATTTAAATCTACGCAAACTTACCCTGTTTTTGTCTGTAAGTTGATCTTGAAGGTCAGTTACAACTTTTTCAAGGTCATTAGCTCGCCCAAGGTCAACTGCTGATTGAGATTTGACAGATTCTAAATCTTTCAGCTATAAATACATGTATTTTATCATTAGATTCAGCTATAAATACATGTATTTTATTATTATATTGTGATAATGAAATGTAACTCACTAAGACTGGGATAATGAAATGTAACTCACTGAGACTGGGATAATGAAATGTAACTCACTGAGACTGGGATAATGAAATGTAACTAAGACTGGGATAATGAAATGTAACTAAGACTGGGATAATGAAATGTAACTAAGACTGGGATAATGAAATGTAACTCACTGAGACTGGGATAATGAAATGTAACTCACTGAGACTGGGATAATGAAATGTAATTAAGACTGGGATAATGAAATGTAACTAAGACTGGGACAATGAAATGTAACTCACCAATCCGTTGATCTATGTAAAATGATGATTTTAGATTTTCTCACCTTATTTTCATGTTTATTTATTTGTTGTTGTAATTGTAGATTGTGTTGGTTTAAGTCATCCACCTCAGTTTGTTTATTGTCTAATTCACTGGCCAGTTCGTTCTGTTTCTCCACCGTTAATCGTCTCTGTTTCTCCAGCTGTTGAGATAACTCGGCATTCCGCAACATCAACTCTCCTTTATCTGAAAATACATCTGATATGGTCGGAATGGTCTAAAGAATACCTGACGTAAAACCCGTGATTCTATCACTCGACGACTTGTCAACACAATCTATAGAATACACCTGTTCAATGTCTTTCTTGTCTTTTATAGGGGAGCCATGGTGGCGCGCTAGCCTGGAGGTCGCATGTTCGATCCCTGCATTGGCCGACAGAGTTCATCAGGATTATTCTGGCATGGTTTTCCCTTGTCAGTGGTGCAGAAAGGAGGGGCTGACAAGGACAGCTGTCAAGGATCTGTGTATGCATTGGCATTGAACGTAAAAGATTTGATATAAAAGTAGGCCGTAGTGCTGCTGTCCGGCAAAATTTCCCTCATTGCACACTGTATGGCGTATGCCTATCTTCATTAGCCCAGGTTAGGAGCAGAACAATAGGACATTAAACCCCATTTCATTTCATTTTATTTTATCTTTATAACTGTACTTGGATCTGGCCATTCAAAATGTTGACAAAGACCATTTAAGAGAGATTGAGAAATGAGATTTAACATCCACAAATCAGGTCATTTCGAGACTAACATATGGTTCAATTTTATTTCAATAATTTGCATGTAGGGGTCTTTAGCTGTGGGAGGAAACATGAGGAATCGGGAGAAAACCTATGAGTTTGGCCAGGTGAAGCCCCTACATGGAAACCACATCACTTGACTCAATGCCAGACTTTACGATCTAACTGGCATATGTTAAACCATTCGGACACCCAAGGATTAAGAGAAGTGTATTTACCTTTATCACTGTCTAATAATCGTATCTCTGTTTGTTGTTTGATGTATTCAATGGATTTTATTTCATCTTGTAAACTAATCATCTGTTCCTCTAACACACAACACTGTTTAAAATATAACAAATATATCATATATAAACACACAACACTGTTTAAAATATAAACATAGATATCATATAAACACACAACACTGTTTAAAATATAACATATATAAACACACAACATCCACTTGACACAACCCAGTTCATTTCGGGACTAACATGTGATACAATTTTATTTCCATAACACACATGACACAGAGCTAACCCTATTCCTTTTCACGTATAAATAGAGCTAACCCTATTCCTTGTCACGTACAAATAGAGCCAACCCTATTCCTTGTCACATACAAATGTGTGATCGAAACCATGCCACTTGACAGACCTTATATTCATCCACAAACAGATATCCTAGACTTTTAACGACAATGTCCTGGGAACCAACCCTGGCCTTGACTCTTGACAACAATGTCCTGGGAACCTACCCTGGCTTGGATCTCTCGAAACACTGTCCTGGGGACCAACCCTGACCTGGACTGAGAAGAACGTTTGTGATTTTTCAAGCCTATAAGCCGGAAGCTCAGTGCGGAGGGGTGTCCATCAAATGGGCACAAAACCAGACGCAAAATTTTGCATAGAATATGATACCGAGTGCTTATCAGTCCGCGGTTCACAAAGGTGAATTTAGCAAGTTAACATTTTTATTGAAAGGCTGGTTACTTTCGATCATTTTCAGCATGTTTTCGTGATACAAGAATGGCTGCGCATTCACTTTCAGTGCAAATGACCTCATTTGACCTTTGACCCCAAATATCTCGAAGTTGGGTCTGGTTTTGTGCCCATTTGATGGACACCCCTCCGCATTGAGCATCCAGACTACAAGTGTTGATTTATCAGTGCGGAAAGGGAAGTGTACTGCTCTGTATTTTGTTGTATATTAGACATAGTGTTTTTACCTTTTGTACCAGATCTTGTTCTTTTTTAGTTTTTTCTTCTACAATCTGTTTCACTCGACTCCGTTCATCCGTTAATTCTGATATTTCTTTCTGTAATTTTGTAACGTCTGCTTCTAATGATCGTATATCTTCATCAGCTTTCAGTTGATTGGTTAAATAAATATCCTCCTTTTCTGTGAGTTTGTTCTTAAAAATTTTAAAAATCAATTGAGATTTAGAAGCATACCATGATATATAGACAATAGTGTCTTTATTATTAAAGATGCATTCCCGGGTACAAACTGGGTGATTTGATGATATATTTGGACTAAAAACATATTCAAAATAATTAATTTATCATAATTTTGCTTCAAATCCTTCTCAAAACATTGCAATTGTCAGGTAATACCCTGGCTATAAAAAATTGATTAAAAAAGGTCATGTTTGTGTCACGTGACTTACCTCTCTTGGTACCTAGCAACGCAAGCGCAGTCGGAGGAAAATTCATTGCATACACAAGACGATGTTGTCTTTAGTAGCTGGCTATTTATTACAAATATCGAAGCCATAATTAAATTTTAGGATTATCCACTGCCCGCGTATTTTTCTGTGATTTTTATCTCAAAGTGTTGTGCGTCTAATTCTTCATAAAGTTTATCAACATGTACATCAAGTGCTCAATCTCCGCGTGCAACCTTCGACGTCCCGCATGCAGACTCTCCTAATCGTCGGACTTACATTTTTGTCCTGTATACGCTCCATGAGTGTTTTTCAGGGAATCCAGTATTTTTCTAGTAAGATTGGATATTTCTACTTTCCATATATACACCAAACCTGCCATACTTATATTGGAAATAACCACACGATAAATACTTTTCTGGGAACGTAGCTTTATAGACAACGTTTGTAAGGATAGGTCTTGAAGTTTGTTTAAAAACAAATGAATGGTTCAGCAACAAATTCCACTCTGGGATCCAGAGATTTATTTGTAAGTGGATGTCAAATATAGAAATTGATCTGTAGAAGGCAGATACCTGTACGAAACATATAAATTAATATTATGGAGCTATTTTTAATGCAGTTTGGTTACTCAAAAAGAGCACTTTAAATTCAGCTTAGTTCTAGTAACAATTCTGGCAGATAACGGTAAACCACAAAACGTTGTCAAATCTGACTGAGAGTTTTATCAGATCTGACTGACAGTTTCGTGAAATCTGACTTAGGATTTTGTAAAGTCTGACTTATTATTTTGCATAATCTGACTTAGAATTTTGTAAAATTACCTGACTTATTATTTTGTAAAATCTGACTTAGAATTTTGTAAAATCTGACTTAGAATTTTGTAAAACCTGACTTATTATTTTGTAAAACCTGACATAGAATTTTGTAAAATCTGACTTAGAATTTTGTAAAATCTGACTTAGAATTTTTTAAAATCCGGCTTCTTGGATTTTGTTAAATCTGAATTACTGTTCTTGTTTTTTTTAATTTTTTAATCTGACTTACTGTATGGTAAAATGTGACTTACTATTTTGATAAAAGCTGTTTAAAGATAACTTACAAGTTTGTGGTTTAATTCCGATATTTCTGTTTTACTGGATGTTTCTACTTCCAACGACTGGGATTCTAGTAACGTTATTTTACCTCGAAGATGTGTTTCCATGTCAACCATTTGTAAACGTGATTTATTCAATTCAGCCTCCTTTTCATCTTTCTATGATTATAACACAATATATATGTATATATATATATATATATATATTCAAGATCTATTCAAGAAGTATTTAATCTATTCGACCCCCAAAACTTTATTCAATCGTTATTCTAATGAAACAGAAAAATAAAATCATTCATTGCTTTTTATAATTTGTCAGCAATTTGAACAGTTGTAGCTATATAACATATGCAATGGTATGAGCAGTGGCAGTGATGACATGAGCAGTGGCAGTGATGGCATGAACAGTGGCAGTGATGACATGAGCAGTGGCAGTGATGGCATGAACAGTGTCACTCATATAGCCATGTTTATCATGTCACTCATATAGTCAGGTTTATCATGTCACTCATATAGCCATGTTTATCATGTCACTGAAATAAAAATTAGAGGCGATCAGTGTGAAGGAGTTAACTATGTGCTATAAATTGTTTAGATGATCATTTTTAAATAGACCAATATTCTAATCTGAAACTCTCAGACAAGTTAAATAACAAATTCCAAATAAAGAATTTGGTCAGCATACTGAAAAAATTTTTTCTGAGCCGCAGTGATCGGTTCTACAATCAGGATATGAAATAGGGTTTAAAATCCTACTTTATAGCACCAACAGCCCCGTCCAAATGAAGAGAACCTGTTCCTCGACCAACACTTGGATTGAACTCACATCTTCTTGTTACAGACTGTAGCTGACAGGGTGTGGTGATATATCGTTGTCTAGGAGACAGGGTGTGGTGATATATCGTTGTCTAGGAGACAGGGTGTGGTGATATATTGTTGTCTAGGAGACAGGGTGTGGTGATATATCGTTGTCTAGGAGACAGGGTGTGGTGATATATCGTTGTCTAGGAGACAGGGTGTGGTGATATATCATTGTCTAGGAGACAGGGTGTGGTGATATATCGTTGTCTAGGAGACAGGGTGTGGTGATATATCGTTGTCTAGGAGACAGGGTGTCGTGATATATCGTTGTCTAGGAGACAGGGTGTGGTTACATTCTGGTACTGATTCAATCAGACAAAACTCAAGAAACAAAACATTTTACCTGTTTTTCATAAAGCTGTTCTTTTTGTTGAACAAGTTCATAATTTTCTAGAGCCCTTTTCTCAGCATCTTCTAATTTGCCACGTAAATTTTCCATCTAAAAAAATACAATTATCATAAAAAAGTAAAAATCAGCTCCTTCAAAAATTTGGAACGTTTTTTTACACAAGAATCATTGTGCAAGGGTTTAACTTGCTGATATTAGCCAGGTATGTTTCTCGTTTCAAATGTTATATAAATTATTATTAAGACATTTATTCACATGACTAGCTGGGAGCCACGGTGGATAAGTGGGTAAAATGCTGGCTTGTTAGCCTGGGGGTTGTGGGTTCGCTAACAGTATTGGCTAAGAAAGTTCATCAGGATATAACGGCATGGTTTTCCCTTGTCAGTGGTGCAGGATGGAGGGCCTGACAAGGACAGCTGTCTAATCGTTCGCATGGTATGAACAAAAACAAGGTCCCGTGTACACATTGGTGTGCAGTGTGCACATAAAAAATCCAGCGGCAGTTGGAATTCGATATAAGATTAGGCCTTAGCGCCGCTGTCGGGGCAAAATTTCTCTCATATCACACTGTATGGCGTATGCCGTCTTAATTAGCTCAGTTTAGGAGCAGAACGTTAAACCCCATTTTATTTCAAGTCACATGACAAGCCCATAACCCTCTAGAGCATCAAATGGCAGAGATATTAAGTGGATTAGACAACACCACGATGGAGATTTGATAGTGGGCTGTTACTTGTCAATATTCCAATCAATATATCTTAAACTTATAGTACTGACCTGTTTATGAAAGTTTTCTCTCATGCTGTCAGCCATTTTATCTTTTGATATCATCTCTTCATTATCTTCGATTATTTTAGCATTTAGATGAGAAATCTGAAGATAAAAAAACATCGATCTTTAATTGTTTTAATCAATTTACACATAATCGAGAATTAAAGCACATTATCATCATTTGGGAAAATATCTAATTTTTCCATATTGATTGAAAGTGTTTAGAGAAAGTTTTTGAAAAATCACCAAATAAAGTAATTAGTTTGTGTTATATCAATAGACAGTATTTATATATTCTCCACAATTCTATCCCATCACTATAACCCAGGTATCATTTAATCTTGTGTATCTAGCACTAATTCCTTTCACATTCGTTTAATATCAAATCTTTGTTTAAAAATTTGTAAAAATCGTTTAAAATCACCAAAAATCATCTAATTTATACTTGTGTCTAGTTTAAAGCTGACTGTTTAATTTTGATAATGAGTGTCCAATTTACAAGTATTTAATTTCCTGATCACTGTTCAAAAATTAATCATTATACATCATTAATCAATTGGGTTGTTTATTTTTTTTAACAATGATTGAGAAATTAAACACTTGTAAATTGGACACTCATTATCAAAATTGAATGGTCAGCTTTAAACTGGACACAAGTACAAATTAAACGATTTACGGTGATTTTAAACAGTTTTTACAAATTTTTAAACAAAGATTTGATATTAAACGAATATGAAAGAAATTAGTGCTAGATACACAAGATTAAACGATACCTGGGTTACAGTGAAACTGGACACATGTACAAATAAAATGATTTTTACAAATTTTTAAACGAATGTGAAAGAAATTAATGCTAGATACACAAGATTAAATACTTCCCGGGTTACAGTGTAGGTAGCTGAATTACTAAATGGCGTTGAAGTGTGGATATATTTCTAACCTGTTCTTCTAGATGTGTTATTTTATCACTCCATGTTGATTTTATCTCTGTTAATTGTTGACGAGTTTCACTTAATTTTAATTCTAAACCATCTCTCTATAAAATACAAACCATCTCTCTATAAAATATACTCTTCAAAAAAAGTAGGGGATATTCAGAAACAAAACTGCGGAAATGCACTGCTGTTTTTATTAGAGGTAACCAGTGTATGTTAATAACAGGCCAATTGCCTACACATGAACATAAACAGTTCATATGGGCGGTTTATCTGACTACAAAGAGATACAAGGTCAAAAGTGAAAATGGAAGTTTTTGATTTTTGTCTTAATAATGAGTAATTGCTCCACCAATCCTCAGACATTGAGCAATTAGTCGTGGCATGCTCCTAATCAACTGTCCAATCTCGATTTGGGGCTATCTGACCACTTCTCTTGCAGTGCCACAGCCAATTCTTGCAGTGTCGTCGGTTGACGTTGACGTCGACGAACACGTCTCCTGATCAAATTAAACGTAACACACTAAAGCAAATATACGCTAAACAGTAAATCTTATGCAAGAACTGATGGGAAAGCAAACATGGTTAGATAAACCAGCACGCGGTAGTTTCCATCAACCCTTCCTTGAAGTGTCAAATTTGACAATGAACCCCTCCCACGTATATGGCGCTATTGCGTGTAGCATGTGCAGCTCAAGATTTTAACTAGATTAGAACGGTTTGCCATTTAAAAATTTAATTTAAAAATAGGAAAGTGAGGTGAAGTCTCGAATATACAAGTACCCTGGTTACCACAATGCCCACATCGTGTCAAAAATACAAACAGTGATAACTTGGCTCAGAATGAAGTAATTTGAATGAAATTTTCAGTATTTTCATTTTACATTATCTATTTTTGAGCTATGATAGCAAGAATGTCAGCCAGCTCTTTATCTAAATCTTACATTATGTATGTTTAAGGGAGTTTGATAAATTTAATCTTTATTTAGAAAATATAATACTACTTGTAGCAATCGCGAAAAAAAGCAGACAGTTAATACAGGCCAAAATTCTTCTCTTAAATAAATATTTTAACATATTTATTATAAGATAGTAAATTATAACAGAAAAATAATCCTCTATATTCTATTCCAGGAATACCGAATTATATGTTTTTCCATTATTCAATAAGGGAATATAAGTGGTTGTTATTATTCAATAAGGAATATAACTAGTTGTTATTATTAAATAAGGGAATATAACTAGTTGTTATTATAAAATGAAGAAATATAAGTGGTTGTTATTATAAAATGGAGGAATATAAGTGGTTGTTATTATTCAATATAAGTAGTTTTTATTATTCAATGAGGGAATATAACTGGTTCTTATTATTCAATGAAAGAATATAAATGGCTGTTATTATTCAATGAAGGAATATAACTGGTTGTTATTATTCAATAAGGGAATATAAGTGGTTGTTATTATTCAATGAAGGAATATAAGTGGTTGTTATTATTCAATGAAGGAATATAAGTGGTTGTTATTATTCAATGAAGGAATATAAGTGGTTGTTATTATTCAATGAGGGAATATAACTGGTTGTTATTATTCAATGAGGGAATATCTGGTTGTTATTATCAAATGAGGGAATATAAGTGGTTGTTATTATTCAATGAAGAAATATAAGTGGTTGCTATTATTCAACGAGGGAATATAAGTGGTTGTTATTATTCAATGAGGGAATATAACTGGTTGTTATTATTCAATGAGGGAATATCTGGTTGTTATTATCAAATGAGGGAATATAACTGGATGTTATTATTCAATGAAGGAATATAAGTGGTTGTTATTATTCAATGAAGGAATATAAGTGGTTGTTATTATTTAATAAGTAAATAAACATAATAAAAGAACATACTTCTGTTTCTAAAGCTAGAAGTCTGTCATCACCAGATAAATCTTGAACTTGTAATCGCTGTTCCACCATTTTTATACGATCCTGTAATTCTTTTATATGGTCATCTTTTTCTTCTATCAGTTTACTACTCTACACAAATATACATACAACATTCATAAAAACAATAAAACAATGGAAGGATCACAAGCTGGAGCTAGACATCTGAATAATGATAAATATTTATAAATAATTATACTGATATATCAGAAAGAATCCATGCTTTCTATCTATAGATTATGTTACAGGCTACTACTAGTCTTCAATGACAGTTGATCACATGTGCTCGGACACCACTAATAAAAGGACGAAACGCCACGTCTGGTCCCAGTTCACAAAGCATACTCACGCTTAAGTAAGAATTTACCCAACTTTCAATCACTGTGGATGAGAAATCTCTTTGATCCAGAAACACAAAACTTTGCATATAGTTTCTTATTGATGAATTTGATACATTAAAACAAACAAAAGTTTTATAAAGAGCTATATATTAGTTAAAAGAAGGCAAACAATTTTGAGTAAATTCTTATCTTAATTCGGGGCTGATCTCATGGCCTTTATCAGTATAGCGCTAGTGATGATATGTGTTAGAGGTAGATTGAAATATTAGAAGATATAAAGACTAATACTTGCTGACAGTGTGATTATAGTGATGCTCATAACATATAAAATAGTCACTATAACACAGTCTTAGATCCCAACAATGTTATAGTGAAGCCTTATTGCATTTTTACCTTTTTGATGATTTACCTTTTTTTTAGATGATTTACCTTGTTTAAGACGATTTACCTTATTTTTTAAATGATCGGAATTTCTCTGGTATGTTTTATATTCATTCTCTAATTCTGTTAAATCACCACAAGTTTTAGATAGCTGACTGCTTTTCTACAATAAAATAAATCAATCATGAAATAATAATATTCTATAAATGATATTTACAGCTTGATTGTTATGATCTGGTTTCGGTAAATTTCAGGAAATTCACAAATTGACTTCAATGGCCTAATTCCAAATCTAGAGAGCGAGAGAGTTTAATGTCCACTCAACACAAACTAGGTCATTTAATTCTTTAGCAGTGGGAGGAAACCGGAGGACCCTGAGAAAACACGAGATTCCAAACCTTGAGAATATTTACGACGGTAAAAAAATCCAAACATCAATTGAAGCTCACTATGTTAGTTGAGGAAGTTCCTCTGAAGTTTTCAGCCCTGTTTCAAGGACGGAGGATCTGGTTTAAGGAAAAGGTTCCATGTTTACTATCGGCACCACGTTAATCATCTCCCCGCAAAAAAAGTAGTCCATTGGGCCTCTGCCTGGGAGTATAATAAAAGTAGTCCACTGTGCCACTGCATGGGCAAAGCTTCCCTTATACTTGAGGATGCTTGGGGGCTAATTGGGTTTCATTTGACTGGGGATACTTGGGGGCTAATTGGGTTTCATTTGGCTGGGAATACTTGGGGGGGGGGGGCTAATTGGGTTTCATATGGCTGGGGATACTTGAGGGGCTAATTGGGTTTCATATGGCTGGGGGAAACTTGAGGGCTAATTGGGATTAATTTGGCTGGGGGGAAACTTGAGGCTATTTGGGTTTCATTTGGCTGGGGGGAAACTTGAGGCTATTTGGGTTTCATTTGGCTGGGGGAAACTTGAGGGCTAATTGGGATTAATTTGGCTGGGGGGAAACTTGAGGCTATTTGGGTTTCATTTGGCTGGGGGGAAACTTGAGGCTATTTGGGTTTCTTTTGGCTGGGGATACTTGGGCAGATAAATGGGATTAATTTGGCTGGGGGGAAACTTGAGGCTATTTGGGTTTCATTTGGCTGGGGATACTTGGGGGGATAAATGGGATTAATTTGGCTGGGGAAAACTTGAGGTTAATTGGGCTTCATTTGTTGAGGGGATACTTGTGGGCGGGTGAGTGTGGGGGGGAATTGGGTTTTTTTTTGGGGGGGGGGGGGATACTTGGGTTTCAAAAAAGAATTCATCATACTGAGGTAAGTTCAATATTTAATTCATCCAGTCGTTTTTCGAACACAGATTTTTCATTGGTCAACCCTTTCACCAATCGGCTCAACTCTTCATTCTCTTCTTTCAGACGTAAACTGAAAAATGGCAAATAAATTAACTCAATGTGAGGTAGAACTTCAGATCACTGATTAATAATATAGCAGGCTTCTTCATCTCTTGAACACAAACAGGCTTCTTCAGCTCTTGAACAGAAACAGAAATTTCAAGTCCATCGCATGATATGACTGGTTCCTAGTGTTCAACGGAAGGATGACGCAAGTGGGTGTAAAAAAACTAGGGGTGTTTATAGCTAATGAAAGCAAGAGAGGTGGAATGGGACAGACCATTTCACAATTAAAATATGTGTGTAGGAGCCATCATTTATATAACAGGCTTCATCATGTACAGGTATGATCAGCTTTACTACTCTACCTATTATTCATAATTTGTGGGGGTTGTGGTGGTCAAGCAGCAACGGATTGAATCTTATGGAGCCTGTGGAAGTTGTGGTGGTCAAGCAGCAAGGTATTGATCCTTGTGGACCCTGTGGAGGTTGTGATGGTCAACCAGCAGCAAGGGATTGAATCTTATGGTGCCTGTGGGGGTTGTGGTTGTCCAGCAAAAAGGGACTGAACCTTATGGTGTCTGTGGGCTGTAAGGGAAATTCTGTCTAATTATTCAAATGGGACAAAAATCGCAGGTCCATTCATGTAAACATTGGTGTTCAGTGCACGCGTAAAAGACCCCTAGATGGTTGGTGGAAACGTCGCCATCCAGAAACAAATCTCCTAACTTGCATCGGATAAAATGACCAGACAAAACATTAAATCCCATTTAATTTTGTAATTAAAATCTGCTAAAAATTCGCTCAGAATTCCAACTACTAAATACCCGCCCACAATTGACATCTGCTGAGGGGTTATAGGAGAACATGGAAGGATCGACAGACAAAATAAAACAACTTTTCAAAGATAAAAGCTGAGTTCAGCAACAAAAACTCCAAAGTTTCCTGGTACCAATATATAAATGACCTACCTTTCTTTTTCTATATTAGACTGTTTTTCTCTAAGTACCTCTAAATCATTGGTCATGTCATGAGATTTCTGATTGGCTGCAGTAAGTTGTTCTGTTGAAGAAGCGAGTTCAGTTCGACATTTTGATAATTCTTCCTGAGCCATCAACAACTATAACAACAGAAATATTTGTTTATTTTCAACACAGCTGACTGCAGCTTTATTTATAAAATTTGTTATTAAAATTTGGAGCCAGTGGCCGAGTGGAGGGGCATGGTGACTAAGTGGACAAGACGTTGGCTCACTAGACTGGAGGTCGCGTGTTTGATCCCTACATTGGCTGACAAAATTCAATGGGATTTTCCTGTGTCGTTTTCCCTTGTCAGTGGTGCAGGACGGAAGGCCTGACAAGGACAGCTGTCTAGTCATTTTGATGGGATACATTGGTGTTCCACGTAAAAGATCCCCTGGCAGTTGGAATTCGATATAAGAGTAGGCCGTAGTGCTGCTGCCCAGGCAAAATTTCCCTAATATGTATGGCGAATGCCCATCTTCATTAGCCCAATCGGAGCAGAACAGTAGGACCATAAACCCATTTCATTTCATTTTTTTTTTTGTTATCAAAATTTAAGTTGGCAAGTTAAAGAGGCTATAAAGTGTTGTTGTATAAATGAAGACAAGTAATTTGCCAGGAAAAATACAAAAAATGTCCAACAAACCAAATTTTGAAATAGGAACACTGGTTTAAAACAGAAATAAGATTTACCATTTAAAATCTCTCCCTTTCTCTCTCTACTCACTCACTCTCTCTCAGGGGGGTTGGATGGCCGAATGGTTAACATGTGCACGCTGTATCATGAAGTCTGTCATTGAGTCAACTGGCGTGGTTTCGAATCCCCGGTTGTACATGACAAGGAGTAGGGTCGCCTGTCCAACCTCGTGGGTTTTCTCCGGGTCCTCCGGTTTCCTCCCACTGCTAAAGACCCCTACTCGCAAGCGAATTATTGAAATAAAATTAAACCATATATTAGTCCCAAAATGACCTAGTTTGTGTCGAGTGGACTTAAACCCATTTCTCTCTCTCTTTCTTCCTCACTCACTCTCTGTCTCTCTCTCTCTCACTCATTTTCTTACTCGCTCACTCTCTGTCTCTCTCTCTCACTCATTTTCTTACTCGCTCACTCTCTGTCTCTCTCTCTCACTCATTTTCTCACTCACTCACTCTCTGTCTCTCTCTCTCACTCATTTTCTCACTCACTCACTCTCTGTCTCTCTCTCTCACTCATTTTCTCACTCACTCACTCTCTGTCTCTCTCTCTCACTCATTTTCTCACTCACTCACCCTCTGTCTCTCTCTCTCACTCATTTTCTTACTCGCTCACTCTGTCTCTCTCTCTCACTCATTTTCTTACTCGCTCACTCTGTCTCTCTCTCACTCATTTTCTCACTCGCTCACTCTCTGTCTCTCTCTCTCACTCATTTTCTTACTCGCTCACTCTCTGTCTCTCTCTCTCACTCATTTTCTCACTCACTCACTCTGTCTCTCTCTCTCACTCATTTTCTTACTCGCTCACTCTCTGTCTCTCTCACTCACTTATTTTCTTACTCCTCACTCTCTGGTTTCTCCCACTCCTAAAAGCGAATTATTGACATAAAATTGAACCATGTGTTAGTCCCAAAATGACTGAATTTGTGTGAGTGGAGGTTAAACCTCACTCTCTCTCTAACACACAACTAATACTAGTCCCTCACCATATGTTTAACTTTAGCTATTTCTTGTGTTGTTAAACCTTCAAATTCATCACTTTCTTCTTCTTTCTTAAAATATTTATTTTTAAATTCTTCTGCTTTCTTTAATTCCTCTAATAATTTCTCTTTTTCCTACAATAAAAATAACATCAAATTTATTAAAACACTTAAATTTCTGTTAAATTAAATACTTGTGACTTTGACACTCATTATCAAAATTAATCAGTCAGCTTTAAACTGGACACAAGTACAAATTAGATGATTTTTGGGTGATTTTAAATAAATTTTGGAAATTTTTAAACAAAATCTGATATTTAAAAACGAATGTGAAAGAAATTAGTGCTACATACACAAGATTAAAAGATACCCGGATTTCAGTGCTATGATGGACATTTTGCCCAGCCAACCACGTTACGACCCGATCTTAATTTGAATTCCAACTGACAAGTCAATCTGTACACAGGGCCTCATATTTTGGGGGACCATCCAAGGCCCTCTGTTTGCACCACTGACAGACTACCCTAAATGCACTCCATGTCATGTACAAGCGACTAATTAAAAATACGCCACAGACCTTAGGATTAAACATGCGCATGTTAAACCATTCGCCCCCCCCCCCCTTTAATAATAGAATATATATATAAAAACAAATAAACAAACAAAGGGCTATGTAAAGATGATTGATAATGGAGAATTTTATTTGTGACAAACTAGGTCATTTTAGGACTAACATATAGTGTAATTTTATTTCAATAATTTGCTTGTGCATAGGGGTCTTTAGCAGTGGGATGAAACCGGAGAAAACCCACGAGGTTGGACAGGCGACCATGATAATATAACCTTTAGATGTTTAGTCCACGATTTGGTGAAATAATTTAAAAAACTTAATGTTTATTCAGTCAAATACCACATCAAGTGTTGTCTATTCAACTGTTACCCGTTGCTGCACGGGAGAGTCGATTCCTTAAAGGAGTTCTGTGGAACTGGATGTAGTAGAACTTTGAAACTAGAAGAGGCAGTCACTCCTCTTCTTGAGCAACACTTTTACACCCCAAATCTCAACCTCGATGCAGCAGCCCTAGTGTCGCCACTGACCCTTCAATCAAAAACATATCTATAAATAGATTTTAACCTTTTCTTTCATTAAAAGAGCAGCTTTATGATCTTCTAATAACTTGACACGACTCAGTTGATACTGTTCATTTAATTCCTCGCATTTCTTAGCACTGACTGAAATAAACAAACAGAATATTTACATGAGATACACCGCTTCAACTTCTAAACAATGTGTGGGAAATTTGGCCTGGAAAGCGGCCCTATATCCTACTCCTAAAACGAAATCCAAGGGTTCTTGTATGTACACAGGATCACAGTTTTCCACACCACCTGAACGACTTGACATTGTCCCACTTCCCTGCGTCAATGACAAGAAGGAACCGCGCCGGGAAATCTGGAGTAAATTTCATGGCCAACACCAGGATCGAACATGGGATCTTCAGGTCAGCGAAGTCATGTCTTTCTCATGATGGTGACCATGTCTGGTGAGCCCTGCTATCATGAAGCCACTGCAGTTAGATGGTGACCATGTCTGGTGAACTCTGCTATCATGAAGCCACTGCAGTTAGATGGTGACCATGTCTGGTGAACTCTGCTATCATGAAGCCACTGCAGTTAGATGGTGACCATGTCTGGTGAACTCTGCTATCATGAAGCCACTGCAGTTAGATGGTGACCATGTCTGGTGAACTCGGCTATCATGAAGCCACTGCACTTAGATGGTGACCATGTCTGGTGAACTCTGCTATCATGAAGCCACTGCAGTTAGATGGTGACCATGTCTGGTGAACTCTGCTATCATGAAGCCACTGCAGTTAGATGGTGACCATGTCTGGTGAACTCTGCTATCATGAAGCCACTGCAGTTAGATGGTGACCATGTCTGGTGAGCCCTGCTATCATGAAGCCACTGCAGTTAGATGGGGACCATGTCTGGTGAACTCTGCTATCATGAAGCCACTGCAGTTAGATGGTGACCATGTCTGGTGAACTCTGCTATCATGATATACTGCTTGTATTATAACTGATATACTGAAAGTTTAACCAGAAATAAATAAGAAAGGCCATTCATGGACGATCATCGCCATGACTGTCAATTATCACAGATTGTTTGGTAACGAAGTAGCAGGCGCCAAGAGAGAGAGTTTAACGTCCCCTGACACAAACCAGGTCATTTCGGGACTAACATATGGTTCAATTTTATTTTAATAATAAGCTTGCACATAGGGGTCTTTAGCAGTGGGAGAAAACCGGAAGACCCAGAGAAAACCCATGAGGTTGGACAGACAACCCTACTCAATGACAGACCTTATGATACCTACACACGCTGTAACCATTTGGCCATCCACCCCCCCCCCCCACCCCACCGGCAGATGTAAATCTTTCATTCATAAATATAAAATACAACTAATGTGGATTTAAGATTAACTGAAATAGAAACTAACGATCTTGCTGTTTTTCTAGATGTAATTCAAGTTTTTCTATGGTTTTATTCTTGTCTTTAATTACAGCTGCATATTCTGTAAATAAACAATCAATGATTAGATGAAAATATTACAAATTGTCCATTTTGACTTTTGTTCTAGGAGCAATCAATTTGTGTTCAATCTTTTATTAATAAATTTGAATGGATAAACAGCTTCTATTTGAAAATCTGTTGAATCTTAAGATTGTCGGAGAAATTGGCCTTTTTCAAGGCGTGATGACAGAGACATAATCTGATTGGTTGATTCTGTGTTTATACATTTATAGATTTAACAAAAAGATTGGTTAAACTGACCACTTATTTTTGTTTCTAGTTTACGACATTGTTCCGTTCTTTTCACCAGTAAATCAGACACATCATTTTTACCTCCTGGTGACGCCACCTTCAATACGAAAAATACAACAACAAATCTACTTTAACAGTTTAGAGCCAAACAGAAAATAATATACTCATACTGCATGAGGGAGGGGGTTTCAATATATTACGCCAAGTCTTGCTCGAGACCATTCAATGACTTGAAATATACAGCCAAATGTATTACGCCAAGTCTTGCTCGAGACCATTCAATGACTTGAAATATACAGCCAAATGAAATGAAATTTAACGTCCTACTGCTCTGCTCCGAACTGGGCTAATGAAGACAGGCATACGCCATACAGTGTGCTGTGAGGGAAATTTTGCCTGGACAGCGGCACTACGGCCTACTCTTATATCGAATCCCAACTGTCAAGAGATATTTTACGTGCATGCCAATATATACATGTACACAGGACCTTGGTTTTTCGTCCGAAATATACAGAAACTATCCTGCAAGTATTAAATATAAATAATGTAAGATTGGCACTATGCCAGTACTATTAATTAAAATAAAGGCCCACAAACATCAGAGGAAGATGTCACATCTGTATTTTAAATAAATCTAAAGACATTCATATTTGTAAGGAATGTGTATCAATTTGTACAAATTTCATAAATACATATTTCAGGAAAAGCTTGTCTAGTTATTTCACAATTAACCATGATCTCTTCTCCATGGACTGGACGATAATTTGATCATATATCAGCTAAATTACAGTTCCAGCGAAGGTTCAATTTAAATCTGTTGTGAATGTGTTTAAATCAATTTATTCCGACACTGCACCCAGTTATTTAAAAGAACTCTTTGGTTTCTATCCTCCCTGGCGATCCAACCTCCGTTCTTCAAGTGATCGTAGCATATAGAGGATTCCCAAATATAATAAACGTTCTCGTGAATATACTTTTTCCGTCAGAGAAGCTAAAATGTGGAATGATCTTCTGAAAACTCTTTGAAAGTCCTCTTCCATCCAGAGCTTTAAAGATGGGTTCCCAGAAAAGTATTTATCAGGTGATTATTTCCAATAAAAGTATGGAAATTTTGGTATATATGGAAAGTAGAGATATCCAATCTTACTAGAAAAATACTGGATTCCCTGAAAAACATTCATGGAGCGTATACAGGATAAAAATGTAAGGGTTCCCCTAATCAACAGCCTGACGATTATGAACTTCTGCACGCGTGATGTCAAAGGTCACAAGCGAACATTGAGCGCTTGATGTACAAGTTGATAAACTTTATGAAGAGTTAGACGTACAATACTTTCTGATATAAAAAAGAAGGAAAAAGACGCGGGTTGTGATTAATCCGAGAATTTAATTAGGATTCGATATTTGTAATAAATAGTAAGCGATTAAAGACAACATCAGTCTTATGTATGCAATGAATTCTCCTCTGACTCCCCAAGACGTGACGTAAACATGACCTGGTTTGATTGAATTTTAATAGCAGGGCATTCCTTTCAATTACTATGTTTGAGAAGGATTTGAAGCATAATTATGACTAATCAATTAGTTTGAATATGTTTTTGGTCCATATATACCATTAAATCACCCAGTTTGTACGTGGGAACCCATCTTTAAGATCAACTTAAAAACATATTCATTTCAAAAATGTTTTTGAACTGTTTTGTTGTGAATGCACTTAGAAACCCTTGTGTGTAATGAATTGCTATATAAATTGAACAATAATAATAATGCTTTGGTCGAACAAGGTTGGTCCTACCAATAATGTATATTTATAAAGCCCAAATTTCTAAGTGCGATACATCTTCCACAAATTACACAACAGTATATTCAGTCAAATACATCAGTCATTACATTTCAACATCTCGACTTGAAATTAAAACCAGCAACATTTCGTATTCATATCATAACAAATTATTATGTTTATTGAAACTGTGAATTTTCTATACCTTCCTATGAGGAGAAAGGCATCTCCCTTGACTTACAAATAAATTCTATAGAAAAGGAAATAAATATATTAATATATTTACCATTGAACTGGTTTCTTCATTAGCTGATTCTTGACCCGTATCTGACATTCCTGATTTAAATCAAAAATCTAATTAAAAATATATTTCACACAACAATAACCATGTAAATTAATAAAATATAATAATAGTTGAATTTCAACTGCCAAAGGTTCTTATATACATGCACACCAATGTACAAGATCTTAGTTTTTCATCCTATCCAAACTACCTGTCTAGTCAACACCAGAATCAATCCCCTGACCTTATTCACAGAGTCACGTGGCTCTCTATCAGTGATGGGATTTCAAAATTTTTGTTGTCGGACATTTTTTCCAGAAAATAAAGGGGCATAACTCTTATCGTTATTTAAGCAGGCGTTTTCAAACCACAATTAAAAATCATGTGTCAACAAAATATTCAAATTCATATGTAATAAAACAATAGGTGCACTACGTTATTTTTCATGTTTAAGTCCCGTACGGTATTCAAATTTATGTCAATAATATTCCTACAAAATTATGTGGCATCGTAATACCATAGAATGAATGCTTGCCAACTACTGCCGATCGGTACCTGTTTCAAATCCCTCCAAAATTACCGTATTTTCCGGGTCATAAGTCGATACATTTTTCAGCAGAAGTCTGGCATTCATCTTATACTACATTTCTACTTATATACGGAAGGTAAAAAAATGACATACCGAAATTTATTTGGCAGTAAACGTCAGTCTACCACAACGAGCGAGTGACACCAACTGCTAAATAATCGCATTCGCCTCTATCACGCATTATCGTCTAAAACAATTAACTACTTACATTATTCCAATCGAAAATGGATAAAAACAGCGATGCGAAAGGACATTTTTACAACATGAAATGAAATCGGGTTTAAATTCCTACTATTCTGCTCCAAACTGGGCTAATGAAGATGAGCATAAGCCATACAGTGTGCTATAAGAGAAATTTTGCCCGAGTAGCGGTGTTATGGCCTACTCTTATATCAAATTCTAACTGTCAAGGGATCTTTTACGTGCACACCAATGTGTACATGGGACCTCTTTTTTTATCTCATACAAACGGCTAGACAGCTGTCCTTGTCAGGCACTCCATCCTACATCACTGACAAGGGGAACCACGCCGTAAAATCTGGATGACCTTTCTCGGCCAATGCAGGGATCGAACACCCGACCTCCAGGCTAGCGAGCCAGCGTCTTACCCACATAGCCACCGTGACCTCCCTTACAACATGAAATCAATTGTTGCTGGAAATTATAATAAAATCTTACTTTAGGCCTAATGTAATAGGCCCGTTATAATCTGATTATTATTAAATTATTAATACAAAATTTAATTTTGTTATAAACAAAACACTTTATGAAGATGCTGACCATTTGAGCTGACTTACCTGAGTTTCGTCTTTGGGTGCTGTGACTGGAAGATGGAGATGAAAATGATTTTTCTCCATCACTGACAGTGCCACCTTCATCTTGGATTCTCTTTTTTAACTTTGCAAACATTTTATCTGAAAATAGGGAGAAAACTATGCAGTACTTTAATGTGTGACAAGGTGACCCTATCAGGAATCGAGTCTGTGACCACAGGCATGGATGGAATCCATACACCAATTCTGAGTGAGTTAAAGGGAATTCTCCACAAACCAGTCGGTTGGAAACATATATTTAAATTTGAGATAGTACAGGATAGGACAATCTGGTCATCCCAAGATATATGAGCACACCACATATTTAAATTTCTATATCATAGATATTTTTATATAGAGCGAAGCATGGTGCTTAAGCAAAGCTCTTTTCGGTAACACAGGAGTGTATCTAAAACTGTCACCCACAGATCGTTGATTAAAAATAAATTCAGACCGGAACCGGATACACTGGGCAAAACTGGCAATGCGCATGTCAACTTTCCAAATCTCGCCCAAGCGAGATTACTCATTTTATAGAAATATTTGTATGACACGTTTAATCAATGACGTCACATATTTCTGACGTCAATGAAAATAATTCTCAGAAGTTAAATACAATTTCGATCTAAATTAAAATCAATTCGGAAAAACATGATTAATTAAAATAACTTGTATCACTTTAGAAACTTAATTATGAAGGTTTTATATTTGACAACAATAACATCAGCTTTGCTCTACTCAGGCAATGCCTGTTACATATTATCACTTGAGAAACTTAATTTTTATGAAGGCTTTACGACAACAATCAGACCAGCTTCGCTCTACTCAGGCAATACCTGTTACATATTATTGTAAATACTATCAAAGGGAGCTCAACGGTTTTCTCTCTCAAGACATCCGACACCAAAGAAAAAAGACTTCTTTTTGTTTAACATTACAAAGTGAAACGGGGAATTTTGACACTAATTCCGGAACTGAATCATAACACAAGCCACGAAAGGATATCTTACGTGTTTGCAGTAAAATTTGTTGTAAAAGTTACGACACAAAACCCCATAATATGTTATAAATTAATAATTTTCTCTCAGCCTTGTTGGCAGGAAGTTGAAATGTCGGCCATGACAGCTATCATGATCCATTTCCGCTTCCGGAACAGTATAGAATGACGGATTAGAAATGGATTCGAAACGGGTTCAATGTGTTTTACAAAATTGTTATAGACAAGGTTGTGAAGTCGTGCAAAGTTTGTACACAGAAATGGTTCCACTACTGATGTCTTCTGTCATAATGTGTATATTGTCAATGAGATACTCGGGTGGTATATTATTACTCATAAATTAATGAGTTACTCGGGTGGTAATTAATCTGTTTTAGCATGTGACCCCAGGTCCACTTATAGTAGGGGAGCTAGCTCACCGTTATTCCTAAACTCGCGGACAAAATTGGCACTATGCCTAACGGAAGCACCATCATGGCCGATGATCAGAATGGGAATTCTTAAGTTGCACATCCCCTGGGTTTAGGGGCTGTACGCCCCCGAAATCGCGGAAAAAGTTGATTTAATTCAAATTTTTGCGGACAAAGTTAAAGTAGCGAAGTCTCTAACTGAGTGTCATCCAAAGTCTTCGACATTTAATACACGAATTATTTGTCAATTTAAATCAACAGTGATGTCGTGATCTTACCGGGAAAATATGGGTTTCTGATATCCAATATTTAAGACAAAATAAACATTTTGCCATTGGTACACGAATCGTGAACCATAATGCGTTTCAGCGCCATTTGTAACAACTGACTCGAAGAACGAGACTAGACAAGTCAAACGGTGACGGCATATTCTTATCTGGAGTACATGCGCAATATACTATCGGTGTAGACTGGAATAACCAGACGCTAGAGATTGCAATTGGATCGAGACTTCTGGCGTATTTTGCCAGTTAAAACAGAAACGATTGGATGTAAATCAGTTATGTACATTCATATTATATTATTATATGTGTTGCTACCCATTTGTGTCAATTTCTAGGTCCCAAATATTAGCGATGTAGCTCCTTTAATCTTTGCTACATTTGTTCACGTTGCTAAGGCAAACTTGAAAAGTGCCCTTCAGAACAAAAAATTCCCCGGCTTCTGGCTTCAGAACGCCCCCTAGTGACCCGAGTGCGTAGGTTTATTTCAAAATATGACGGACAACTTTGATTCCTTTTTCAGCTGATAGGGTATGGTTCTAAAGTAAATAAAACACAACTTCAGAACAAATAATACCCTGGGTTCCTACTCCAGAACGGATTCCAAGCTGAACATATCAAAAAATCCCGGTAGAACTAGTAGAAGACTGGTTTGCATGGTGGACAAAATTCCTCTTTCGTGAGAATAGTGCCACTGACCTATTAATATAAAGTGCCCTCCAGAAGAGAATATCATCTGGTTTCTGTACTTCAGAACGCCCCCTAGTGACCCCAATAGACATGTTTATTTCAAATGTTACAAACAACTTTGATTCCTATTTCAGCTGATCGGGTATGGTCCCAAAGTAAATAAAGCATCACTTCAGAACAAAAAATCCCCTGTATATGGGCGACATTATCCCGATAAAAACTGTTTAAAAAAATGGCCAACGCACCCCAAAGACTTTTGCGAACGTTGTTACGCATTCAGAAGTCTAAAACATTGCCCCAAAAACGTGAAAGAACGGGCTTACCAAACATTAGTACGACCGAAACCTGAGTATAGTTCACCAATTTGGAACCCGCAGCAGAAAACACAAGTGAAACAAATAGAACAGATCCAACGTTATGCAGCTAGATTCGTACTTAGCAAGCCATATAATTATCAGAACCCTAGTAGCGTTACACTCATGATACACCAGCTGAACTGGCCATCACTGGAACAACGCAGACAACATTCGGACTAAGTACGTATGTACAAAGTCATGCATAAGCTGGTAGCAGTACCAACATCTATACTACCAGATCCATCAGTTCGACACAACAGAAAGTTCATACCATACCACTGTAAAATTAACGCATATCAACACTCATTCTTCCCACGCGTAATCGCTCATTGGAACCTTTTATCGGACCAAGTTCTACAGTTGAACAGTTGTAATACAGTTGTAATACAACGTTGCTGTGTGGGGGCATTTCAACACTTTATGTGGCTATCTTTGGTCTCAGGATAAACCTTGTCAAAATTCTCAATCAGAGAATTATCTCCCCTACCCCCACCCCAGTAAAGGACCATGATTAATTTTCCTAAGCTACGTTTCTTTAAGACATAAGGCAACCCCCCACCCACCAGTTTAAATGTTTTCCTTACAGGACTTGTTGATTGGTGTATAGTATAGAGAAAAAGTTATTACGGAAAGGGATGAATAAACGTAAATTATTAGAAGAAGCTGAGGCATCAAAACGACCAAAAGGAACCTTGATAGACAAATAATAAACATGAATTTAATTTTATATGTAATGTATGGACATTATGATTAAGTAAGACTGTTTAAAATGTTAAAGTGGTGGTTTAAATTGTGTCATATTAAGACTGGATATTAGAATCAAACAACTTCTAGTAAATTGTGTCATATAGTAGTGAAACAAATAGCTCTGTATGCCTGTGATGTATGGGGGTCGCAAATAGTACATAGCAGAAATGTGAATTTACACAAATGGAACTATGTGGAGCATAATAAAATCACAATAAAAACTTGCAAATCCATTTTACTCCAACCCAAAAAATCATCAAACATAGGATCATTGGCTGAACTAGGTATCTTCCCAATTCCAATTGATATTTACCAACGAATGTTGCTATTTTATAAAAGATTAAATACACCCGACATAAAACGTACAAATCCTTTACTATCCGCCGCATATGTGGAAGATGTAGAAATAGGCAAATCAAATCCCAAATTATCATGGTCAGCAGCAATATCCTCCCTCATGGACCAGTTCAACTTATCTCCCTTGCAACTTTCAAAATCTAACATTCAAACGGCCATAAGGTCCCAATTCAATACTATTTATAAAACCGAATATATTTCTGGCAATTCAAAACTTAGAACTTACGGCACTGTAAAACCTACTATAGACTATCCAGCTAATTATTTGCTTCATGCACACAATAAAAACTTCAAGTCTGCTATGACCGCACTACGATTGAGTTCCCATAAACTAGAAATAGAGAGGGGCCGGTACAAGAACGTCCCCCCTGATATGAGACTATGTGCACTCTGTTCCCTCTCTAAAGCAGAAACCGAATTTCACTTCTTAATTGAATGTCCACACTATCAATCTCTTAGGCTAAATATTCTTTCTGCTACATTCAGTAACAACAATTTGGCCATAACGTTTGAAAATCTATTTGACCCTCCCCCTTCAGTTTCTGTGAGTGTATGCCATTATATATATAAAGCATTTCAACGTAGAAATCAAGCCTCGACCTAATAAGGTATTACAAGGCAAAATTTCACATTTTATTTTTTTATCCTTTTGACATCTATACATTTTTGAAGTAATGTTTCTGATAGATATTTTCACTTTTAACATGAACCTATGTATTTTATGTTTAGTATTCTTATAAATATATATATGTATATTGCTATTTATTTTTTGTCATGTTACTTATGTCATGTATATGAATTGTATGCGGCCTGAAATGGGTGTTATGATACAATAAAATCTTATCTTATCTTATCTTATCTTATAATACTGGATATTCAAACCAAAAAAATTGTAGTAATTTAGAGGCGTGTGGATTTACCAGATTCAAACCGAATACAAACATGGATTGTAAAGGTCTTCCATGATAATGAGGAGTGTGTTGTGTCATCAGCACCAAGCACCGGCTAAATACATATAGATCTTTGACCTATAGCTGTGAGTAGTATATGGTTATAATACATGTACATGTACATACTTTAAAGGGAGATAATTTATAAACAAATTTACAAGTTTTTAAATAAAATCAATTAGCCTTTGACAATGAGCATCATTTGTTTTTGAGGTGGCCTAGATGGGGGACGGGTGATGATGGGGGCGAGCGAGGATTTTTATCTATGCAAGCAGGTGTGATTTGTAGGTTTCAGATGTTTCACCTTCTGGATCTGTGGAGGAAACTATAGTTAGAGTACAGCTCTATATAAACAGTGATGATAAATTCTTTGGTTTCATTCCTTTAAAAAATGTTCTCTCCTCTAATGTGCCCAGCGGTCAGTATTTTTGTTATAATTTTTAAAAATATTGTCAATTAAGTCCACTATTGATATCTGCCTTTACTATTAATATGGCATCCTATTGAGAGGTCAGTCTCGACAATTCCGTCGAATTCTGTAAAGAGTAGCCCGAACCACGCCAAATTTGCTGTTTATCATAGAAATAGCAATTACTGTATTTTAAAATACATTAAAGCGTCGACAGCTCATTGAAACCAATGCCTAATGTAGGTAAATGCCACAGCAGTAATGGGGATGCCTTCTTTAACTCTGTAGAGGATGACTGACCTTTATGTTCACGAACAGTATATAGGTGTACATGTGACGTCACATCATATGTCCTTGATAGCATGTGCTTTGCTTACATGTACATCAGACGTAGTACATGTAACTGGTCCAGGCAAAATCGATGCATTTTACTCATGTCATGTCTTCGCGTACTATTTTATGAACCTATTTACACTAAATAGGAAATATTTATTATCCAGATATACTTCTAAAACTTTTTTTTCTGAATATTTTAAAAATTTGTTTTAGAATTGAATTTGCAGAAGAAGATAAGTTAATATTGTGAGCTACATTTAATTAACCCAATGTTATCCTTTTAATGTTATTGACGACCAAGCTGATCGGTTTGATGAACTTTAACACTGTCAACAATTTGCGTCCCTTTTCGCCAACCATGTCGTCATCACTTCTGTCCGTTCGTCCGTTATTAGTAATAAGTAATTCTCGACTAAACATTTTGATGGATTTCGATGAAATGTAGTAGATATGTTGCGAGGGTGGTGTTTATATAGATGTGCTCAATTAATACAATTGGTTGTCCAGGACAGGGTTACTTTTAAAGGGACGATTTAAGTACGGTAATAGTGAAATGGACAGAAAAAGGGTTTATTATTAACATGAAAGAGCTGTAGGAACATCCCGTTCTACTCCACTATACCCTGGGACATCACAGAGGGATAAATTTGAATAGTTTTGACTTACATGTACTTTTGATACAAATGTATATGAATGAATGTAATTATGCTGCTATTAGTTTGCTGTTATTCGAATTTATTCAAATAAAGCTGCTTGACCCCACAGGGTTGGGGTAGGATGCACCTTCATTGGGCAAGGGGTAGGAGCAGTGAAGACTGAACTAAATGTTCCAGGTTTGAATTTTCCGTATGAGCCGAGAAGGAGCTGGTCTACACTTGTCATGGTCAGATCTTGTCATGGTCAGATCTTGTCATGTCATGGTCAGATCTTGTCATGGTCACATCTTGTCATCTTGTCATGGTCACATCTTAACAGAACACAGTTTATATGGGAAACAATCACTGGTTTATTCTAAAAGCACGACATTTCGACAAGTAGCCTCTTATCATTATCTTATTGTGCTTGATAACGATAAAAGGCTATTTGTCGAAAGTGACAATTGGCACAATTTGCAATTATAAATGAATAAATATAGCTATAATATTAAATTGTTTATTGCACTATATATACCATAATATGTTTCATGCATATAAATACTGTTTTAATAAACTATTAATCAATCTCTAATTCGGTCCCGTAGCCAGCTTGTTGGCCGTGGTGGGGGGGTGAAGTTTTTAGGGGGGGGGGGGGTGCACCCGTGACACAGTCTACAGTAGGTAGGCCTATTTTAGAGTTATGGTCGGCAAATTTTCTTTCGGCGGTGGGGGGGGGGGGGGTAAGACGCTGGCTCGCTAACCTGGAGGTCGCGTGTTCGATCCCTGCATTGGCTGAGAAAGTTCATCGTGATTTTCCGACGTGGTTTTCCCTTGTAAGTGGTCTCGTGTACACATTGGCGTGCACGTATAAGATCCCTTGGCAGTTGGAATTCGATATAAGAGTAGGCTATAGTGCCGCTGCCTGGGCAATTTCCCTCATAACACACAGTATGGCATATCCTCGTCTTCATTAGCCCAGTCAGGAGCAGAACAGTAGGACGTTAAACCCCATTTCATTTCATTTCATTTATGGATTTCAACAACTACTTGGGTGGATTTCAACCACACACGGCCACCCTCAGCTAGCGCTGAGAATGGTCCAGAGCGGATAGGGGCCCACCGAGGATTTGACCCTCCCATTCCTTCCCTGAACCTCCTGAAAATGAAGGACAAGCTCGGGAGAGAAAGGGCTTTGGACTCCCTCCTGGACCTAGACCGAATGATTAGCACTTGCACGCTGTATCATAAGGTCTGTCATTGAGTCAACTGGCGGGGTTTCGAATCCCCGGTTGTACCTGACAAGGAGTAGGGTCGCCTGTCCAACCTTCTGGGTTTTCTCCAGGTCCTCCAGTTTCCTCCCACTGCTAAAAACCCCAATTGAACCATATGTTAGTCCCGAAATGACCTAGTTTGTGTCGAGTGGACAATAAACCCCATTTCTCTCTCTTCTTTTGAGTGGATGCTAAACCCTAGTCTTTGAGAATTCTCCACCAATTTATTACCATGCTACTAACAAACCACAACCCGTATAGAAGTTACAGCGATTAAAGGGCCAATCTCGATTATATTTTGAGAAATAAAACTGATAAATTTGTTTTAAAATCCCTTAGTATCCTCTACCTTAGGGCCGAGCAACTAACTCGATATATGTGATATGTTTGCAAACAACTTAAACCAGCCAGTCTTCATCTGGAAATGAACGACTGAATATTTGCAGCTGAAATTTTGAGACAAGGTAAATACACCAATCCTCTATAATTTGGCGCTTACTGTTCATTCCTACACAGACTTGCATTCAGACACAGGGTCACAGTGGGTAAGATGCTGGCTCGCTAGCCTGGAGGTCGAGTGTTTTCGATCCCTGCATTGGCCGAGAAAGTTCATCCAGCTTTTCCGGCGTGGTCCCGCCTTGTTAGTGATGCAGTACGAAGGATGTGATAAGAACAGCTGTCTTAGTCTTTCGGATGGGATGATCAGCCGAGGTCCCGTGTACACATTGGCGTGCACGTAAAAGATTCCTTGACTGTTGGAATTCGATATAAGAGTAGGCCATGTGCTGTCCGGAAAATTTTCCTCATAGCACACAGCTGTATTTCCGAGACTCTGTTAAAATCGGGATGGTCCCTTTAAAGCCAATGTGGATACTCGATTGAACGTTCAAGAATAAAATTCTCTTAATTCCAAAATTAGTGTCAATCGAGTGAAAAGGAGCATTTCGGAGTACGACGCATGTGGGGACTGCATAATCTCAACTAATCATGCCAGCTGAAACATATTTGTTACTTAAAATACGTCACGATTCTACTCGCACCACCTCAGCTGTCGGGACTGGCAGAACTGTAACAGGACTGAATTCCGTATCACTTGATTGCGATTCTGTCAATTCGGGACGTTCCGGACTGACAATCGAGCACCCCATACTGTAGTGATTTTATTTCAATAATTCGTTTGAGCGTAGGGGTCTTTAGCAATGGGAGGAAACCGGAGGACCCGGAGAAAACCCACGAGATTGGATAGGCGACCCTACATGTAAATAAAGACAATGGGCGGTTAAGCGAGTGGTTCAAAAACCACAGAGTAAGCCGACTCTTTCACTTTCACATAAAATAAATCAACTAAACGATAGCATAACACAATAGTTTTTTTTATATATTAAAGCAGATTCTAAAGTATAAATAACTGTAGTTAGAGACGTGGGGTAGATTTACAGTATTTAACCTGTACAATATAAATAACTATAGTCAGTGAAGTGGGATAGATTTACAGTATCTAAACTTTACAATATAAATAACTATAGTTAGTGAAGTGGATTAGATAAGATTTACATTATTTAAACTTTACAATATAAATACATGTAGTTAGTGAAGAGGGGTAGATTGGATTGATGGCTCATTAAAGTTTGCATTTATGGTGTACCAGATTCTATTGGTCACAATTTCTTTTAATGTTTCCATCTTCCTGAAAATAATTGTGTATTTTAGTGAAATGTTTTCAAATTAATCATGTGTTTATATCCCAAAAATCTCGCGAATAACTTCCCAGAGTATAACGAACATAAATTGGCGACCAATTCACCTAGCGACCTATTCGACGATGAAGCAGGCGACCTGTTCATTGACAACCTATTCAGAATAAAAACCGCAACAGCCCAAACTCATCTATTTTTATCAACCAATAAAATCCAACGTTACATGTATAAAATGAAAGTAGAATATATTATCCTTTCCTATAGCTCAGAATTGAGGTGTAATTTCGGATTATCTTACAAAATTCTTAGCATCTAACAACATATATTCGAAAATGTAATACAATAAACTTTCAAAATATTATTAATAAAAGTTGGCATAGTTATATTAAAGGGGTGCACTCTCATCATAAACGTCCCCAATTTTTCAATATTTTAAAGTGAAAGAACGATAATATTCCGAGTCAAAATTCGGATCATCGTTCAAAATTCTGAGCATCCAGCTCTATATATTCTTAAATTGGCTATGTTCAAGTTGAGAGCGTGCCCCTTTAATATGATTGTGCCAACTTTTACTAATAATATACTGAGCGCCATGGAAAACGCATCACTTAGTTTTTCGTATAACAAAATGATCCTGTAAACATATCTTATTTATTTTGCTTCTTATTGTGAACAATATTCAAATGGGAACACGTCAATAACAACACATTTGTACACTTATGGATGTTTAATCTGTAATCAACGGTACAAAGTCAGAGGGGTCAAAACCAAAAGTACGACACAGATGTCAGTAGCGCGTGTGTCCTCCACGGGCTCTTACGCACGCTGTGCAGCGACGTCGCATGGAATTTACCAATGTTTGAAAGAAGTTCTGGGGCAAACTGTTCCATTCTTGGACAAGAGCAGCGTCTAAAGCAGCAATGGTGTGCATCTGTGGTCTCCGCTACAGACGGCGTCCAATCTCATCCCAGACATGTTCTATCGGTGCCATGTCCGGAGACATGGCTGGCCAGTCCAAGACATTGATGTTGTTAGCAGCAGGTAGTCCATACTAAAACGGGTGGTATGCGGACGTGCATCATCCTGTTGGAAGTGCTGAAGTTGTGGGTGCGCTCGAAACATCGGAACAACAATTGGTTGCAAGACATCATCACGGTAGGCTACAGCATTAACGCGACCCCTGCAAATGTGTAGGGCGGTCCGTGATGAAATGTGAAGCCTCCCCACACCATTACACTTCCCCCACCCCATCGATTCGATTCGAAGACGCAGCAGTCTGCAAGACGTTCCCCAAGACGTCTCCACACACGTTGACGGCCATCAGCGTGATAAAGATGAAAGCGACTCTCATCACTGAAGAGCACACTTTGCCAGTCTACTCTTCTTCATGACTGGCGTCCTTGAGCCCATATCAAACGCCGCTGACGGTGATGATCCCTGAGGATAGCTCCAACATAAGGTCGTCGTGCACGGAGTCCTACTTCTCTTAGAAGACGTCTTACAGTGTTGGCACTTACAGGTCCTTGTCTTCCGACGACTGCTGCACCTGTTCGAGTCGCTGGGCGGAATCTGTCACGCAGATGAGTGACCCGGATGTAGCGGTCTTGAGCCTGGGCTGTAACGCGTTGTGGACCAGGACGTTGACGGTCACGTGTTGATCCAGTGACTCGAACACGTTCCACCAACCTTACAATAATGGACTGATGACAATAATTGAAGTGTCTGGCAATAGCATTCCCATGGTTTCATTCCGTTTATTTTCAGTTAGTGTCGGCCTCTGTAGCTCGATTCCTTCACACGTCCAACAACAAATTACGACAGATTGACGTTTCACAGTTCATGTACTGTACATTAAGTTGAAAACATGCTTTTAAAGGGCTCACACACAATGCTGCACGTGAATATTGGGTTTTTCATGTGCATCTCGTGCAATTTTTTTTTTGTGCACACGGGCCGATATTTTTTGAGTTTGGGAGCATTGTGTGAAACAATAGTTCATAGTATTGCATAATATTATTATACATACAAAACCACCTAGTAATAAAATATTTGGGAAAAAAAAGTGATGCGTTTTCCATGGCGCTCAGTATATTTAGAAAGCTTATTCAATTACCTTTCAGAATATATTTAATTGGATCATCAGAATTTTGTACGATGATCCGAATTTTGACACGGAATATTAACTATAAGGAGCGAGCATTTTGTCTGTCAGATTCCAAAATTCGAAGACAACCTTCATTTAGGTGTAGCGGTGATATATTAAACGTTTGTTTAAAATTGAATACTACATGTTGTGACTTCTAGATGGCCCACTAGCTAAAAAAAAACAGTGATTTTTCGAACAATCAGGGCCATCAACCAGGAAGTTACGTTCCGATATGCGCAATTATCAAAAGGAGCCGAGATCTTTGTGATATAAACATAAATTTAAAGTTTCATCAAAATCGGATCAAAATTATGACTTATATAGGATCCACAACCTTGATATACTATATTTTTACACTATTTGCGTACGAGGAGCGGCCATTTTGTCCGGCAGTTTCGGTCAGATTTTCACGAAATTCGAACTCAACCGTCATTAAAGTATAACGGTCATATATTCTTACAATCAGGATATTCCAGGAATTTACGACCCGGTATGCGCGAATATCGAAAGGAACCAAAATCATTGGGTTATAAACATACATTTCAAGTCTCATCAAAATCGGATGAACATTGAACAATCAGGGGCCATAATCCACGAACCTACGGTGCGCGATACCTGCCAATATCGAAAGGAATCGGATAAAAATTGTGATTTATAGAGTGTCCACAAGCAAATTGTGGGCGGGCGGACGGACAGAGGCGACAACAAATAATAATGTGGACGTATAAAAATACACAAACAATTAAATACCAGCTATATATAGACACATTCTACTCACTTGTTTCTATTTTTATAACTGACGTCATCATATATACAGGCGGGTCTGTTTATATCAGGGGAAGGCCATCTATTTACACCAGGTGAAGGTCATCTTATACACGTAGGTAAATCTATTTACATCAGGTGAAGGTCATCTGATACACAGGTAAATCTATTTACACCAGGAGCAGGTCATCAGATACACAGGTAAATCTATTTACATCAGGTGAAGGTCATTTGATACACAGCTAAGTCTATTTAGATCAGGTGAAGGTCATCTTATTGTGGTAATTGTAGAATAGAGCTACAATGGTAATTGTAGTCTAGATTGTCAAGTGTTAATATCTGTCTATATCAGTAATGGTAATTGTAGCCTGGACTGTAAACTTGTTACCATCAACAAATCTACGAGTAAAATCATCCCAGTCTATAAACTTAGGCCAGCCATATCCATCACTACCAGGTTTAAATGTATATTCTATTTCATCTTCTTTAGATTGACTCTGATCTGTTGGGTGAATCAGTTTTAGTTTATATTTAGTTGAACATGTTTTAACTGTTTTATCAACACCTGGGTATAGATGTAGGTACAAACCTAAAGATGTTTTATCTGTATGATGTTTAACACATATACGCCATGGTAGATATTGTATAGTATGACTATCACCATAAAGAGATGTATCGGTTGGTACATCAGTTAAATTAAACGTGTGTGTAAAAGTTGAACTAGTAACTTCAACGGTTGTATCTATAGTAAAATGGCCGTTGTCTAGAAAACCGTTTACATCATTCTGTAATGTATTCCAGTCTATAAATTCTATACTACCGTATGTATTCTGTAATGTATTCCAGTCTATAATATCTGATGCACCGTGTCCAGTACCGCCAGGTGTATATAATGTATCAGTAGTGGTAAACTGTTTTTCTATAGATTTAGAATCATCTGTACCATGAACTAATTTAAGTTTATAATCAGCTGTGCAGGACGTCAAATTCTTTTCTTGTTCTGTTTTCAGGTCCAGATAAACTCCTAAAGTTGATTGATTATGATGATGTTCAACTCCAGCTCTCCAGTATAAATCCTGTAACATAACCAACTTGTTATCCCTGTAGTTTGTGTCTGTATCAGCTCTCTTCAGATCAAAACATGAAGTAAAACACATTTTACTTATTTCAATTGTTGCTTGTACTATAAAATCATTGTTATTGTCAGTGAAACCACGTGGTTGGCATTTGATATTGTTCCAGTCAGTAAACTCTACCCATCCCCGGCTACTGCCATCTGGTGTAAACGTCTGACTTCCCTGTTTTGATATAGACTTGCTCTCATGTATTCTATTTATCAGTTTAAGTGTATATTTAATTGTACAAGATTTAACATTGGTGTCCTGTACGTTCTTTAGATTCAGATAAATACCCAGTGTTGATTTATCTGTGTCGTGGTAAACACCAACATGCCAGGGTAGATCCTGTACCATATAATAATCTGGACTCCAGTAGGGTTGATCTTCCTTCATATGATCCATATTAAAACAGGTTGTAAAGGTTGGACTGTCCATGGTATGTAGTTCACCAAACAGCCGTGTGAGGGAGTCTGGGTTTATCTTCGTCTGAGGGAAATTGAAATACTTAACAACAGGATTACAGAAACGTATTGGACTGTGATCTTCAGCTAGAGTTTCAATATGTGGTAGAATATTTATAACCTGAATGGTTGACACATCACCAAAAACATCATCAGCACATTTAACACTAGTCTGTAGTCGAGTTTTATCTTTGTTTATTCCCGCTTTAAGATCTTCTACTTTCTTGCTTTCTTCTACCCGGAGAACATCAATCTTATCGTTGATTTTTTTCCCTAGTTTTCTGACTTCACTACAGATGGACTCAACTTTCTTGAGAACATTATCTTTAGAAGTTTTAGCAAACACCTCGATATCTGTTGATTTCTCGTCTAAATATTCTAACTGATTGTTTAAAAGTTTGATTTGATTTTCTATTTCTAGTTTGATGGTTTTTAATGATTGTCTCAATTCAGGATCAACAGTTTTTAGTTCAGCTCGTTTATGATCAGCATGATCAACAGCGATGCAGTCAGAGCAGATAGCTACCGAACAATCACGACAATAAAACTTTAATTCCATTTCTTCATGTTTAGGACAGAAATTCCTACCAGCCCGGTCTTCGATATAGAAGTTATTGGTAAAACCGGCCGCTCCCCCTGTTGGTATATTTATTTCTGTTCTACACATTGAACAATTAATCTTCCCATTATGAGCAGTGAGCGTGATATGATGTTGTAAACATGTTAAACAGAAAGTGTGAAAGCAAGGCATGATTTTAGGGCGGACAAAATCACCGAAACATATACTACATTTGTGTCTAGAGGCCATCTTAAATGTTTTAGATTTTATAATGTTTTACTAAATATTGGAATTACTCAAGCGCTATAAACAGCTCGGTTTAAACCGTCATGGCATTAAGTCACTCCTATTTCCACAAGAAGACAGAATATCCAATTTTACTTCAAACTATATCAATCCACACAATAATTTCAACACGTATGTTAAACCTGGTTGACGCTTTACCTTATATTTCTAAACAATCTAACACACACATATATATATATATATTGATAATCGTTAGTTAGATACTGTTTAGGTTCAGGTCACAGTGTTACATTTACACACATCGTTTAAATTTACAGATTCCATGTGCTGTAAAATTAATGAAACATTATTCTTGCCAAATATTTCGCTTCAATCGGCAAACTAATCACCCAAGATTACGCGCCGGTCCCAAGTAACTGTTTTATATCCTGTCGCCTCGAGAGTTGGCGTCGTTACTAGTAATCATACATTGTATCATAAGATATTTGTTTGTTGTAGTTACTGGTAATCTGAGCTTGTATCACGAGATATGTTAATATTAAAATATGAATGGTTGACGAACAGAATAGAATAAAGATTTTAATAGAATGAATGGTGGGTGGGTACAATACGTCATCGAAATATTCCCCGGGAAAACTAGAGATTAATAGAAACTTAGTAGTAATATGAAAAGAAGGTATTCATTAAAATATTCTCCAGGAAAGCTAGTTAACGTGAACAACACATGTTGACCTAAATGTATTTATTAACATATCTTCCACTAGTGTCTGTCGTGAAATGTGTAAGTGGGCGTGTCTGTCGTCGAGGGGTGTGTGAGGCACACTATGCTATGTTAGAGCACATGAAACCACCCCTCATCCACAAAGCAATATAATAATATATTTTAGTGTACTGCCCTTTGTTAAATTAAGAATTACTAGTTTTCCCTTAATACACTATCTATTTGTATAATTCAACTACCAAACTTTATCATAGGACATATTCTATAAGCATGTTTTTGTAATTTAATGATAACTCCCTTAATACGCTGTCTATTTGTATAATTCAACTAAAAAAATGTATTATACGTATGAAATGTTCTATAAGCATGCATTTATATCTTTACGAAACAAGTCACAGAAAATATATCAATTTGAGTTTCAAAATACAATTTATTGAAGTGAGACAGCATAACGCTAAAAAAAATGTTTATTGATGTTGACTTGTAATTTGGTGGTCATTAGGAGAGGTCATTATTACAAATGTTGAATATAAGAAATGGACTGTAAATTCTGGATGTTGTTTCCCAACTGTAGATAACATCATAAAATTAAAAACTGGACAAAGTCATTAATATATTCTCGGGGAAAACCACCATGACACATGTTATTCTGTATACAGCTATATCATTCACCATAGATATCATATTATTTGTTTGTTCATAGTTTACCATTACACTAAATATGATTTTATACACGTCAACATATTATAAACATATGGTGACCGTGCCCTATGTGTGGCGGCACCTAAACTGTGGAATAGTTTACCATTACACTAAATATGATTTTATACACGTCAACATATTATAAACATAAGACAGCCCGAGAAGTTATGAACGTGTATTAATCACATTTGTAACAGCGAACTGTTTGATCTCTTGAATTGTAGTATTTAAAATACACGAATAACGTTATACAATTGTAACTAATGAATAAAGCAAAAACGTATCTTATTATACGTTTTATTAAATTGGAATAGAAATCAAAAACAGATTAATACCCCGTGTGGTATATTTCATTCAAATATTGTGAAAGGGTTGGTAATAAAAATGAAATTATTATTCTGTCATTAAACATTTCATATATGTCACGTGAAAAGGATAAATGAAAAGCGGGGACACGATGAATAAGTTGCTGGCTCATTGAAATGTAGATCCGGGTGCAATCCCGGTGTTTGACCGAGAACATTCTTGAGGATTTCGTGGCATGTCTTCCCCTTGTCAATTATGCAGGACAGGGGGGGGGGGGTCTAGTCCTTCGTATCAGATGAACAAGTGTATCGTTTAGAAATTAGCTTAATCAACATTTAAGATTCGAAATAAAAGTAGGACATTTCCCTCATTGATACTTATCATCATAAGTCGCCCGAATGGAGCAGAAAAAAAAGACATTAAGCCATTTTTCATTTTAATCCCGAGAATCAAAACAGTTTCTTCAACAAATATATTATCTTGGTTCAAATTTAATGACCGACTAATTGTTTGTGAACAATTCTTAGATGGTGGACTTTGAATTTCTAAAAGATCTATTTCTGTTACCAAAAATAATCTTGCGTTCAATTCACAAAAATTTTCTTTTATCCAGTATTTCGCATTCAAAATGACACCGTTGTTCATTTTGTTGATCGTGACTAATGTTTTCTTAAAGGGACAACAAACCCAAAAGTTGTTAATTTAGAAATGTAAGGGTTTAGCGGCTCGCTAACTCACTGACAATATTAACCTTTGTAAACAAGCGTGCCGCACGTACCAGGAGTAACACTGGGGTGACGCTGGTGCCCTTCTTTTTTAAAGTCCATGGGAAGAAAACGTCCCAACAGTATGGTGACCGTGCCCTATGTGTGGCGGCACCTAAACTGTGGAATAGTTTACCATTATATCTGAGATCTTATACGAAACATCCTCTTTTTAAATTAAACTTGAAAATATATATTTTAGAAAACATTTTTGCTCTTAAAAACTTTTTTGTTCATATGAATTGCCATTTATAATACTGTACAGACTATTGAGTCAAGCAATAAATTGTATTATTAATTCGGAATCGAAAGATACACGACGGCAAGTAAAATGTATAAAACGAGAACAGTTGTATCATCCTGACGACTAAACATAGTATAAGCTTAAGGTATCCCCATACTCCGAAAACCGGGGGTGGGGGCGCATTACCTTATTTAGTCCACCATACACATTTCATAAACAAGTGAGAATTTGATGGCCATTTTGACAATGGAAAGGACAAAACCAGTGTTTTAACCAATACTGTTTTTATATATAAACATATCACTCATTCAATTTGAGTGTATGAGATATGACTTCGCTATAATATGTGGAACCAATTATCAGTATCAGTTAAAGACCATATTACTACACACTACCCTGCTATATATCTATCGTTTTGGCCTGATCGTCTAATGGTTTTACTACTTGGATTCTGTTGTAACTTTAGGACTTCACGTTATTTGCTTACTCATGATATGCAGATCAGATATATACCAGGAACAACAATAGTGTTGTCGAAGCAGGATACATAGTTTTAAACAGACGTCTTCATAATAGTCAGTCTCTCAACCCCACGCCCGCAAAGTCTAACCTGGCTAGGCGTCTGTAAAACGTCATTGGTTCTCGCAAACTCAAATGACATGTGATTTGTTTAGCCCAGGTCTTTTATATCTCCCGATTGCTGCTATTAATTAGGTGGTCAATTACGCTCAATGACGTAAGAAATACCCAAATAAAGAAATTGAAATTGAGAGATTATATGGTACATTTCCACCACATTAACATTTTAAAACATTAACATATTGACATGTTTATGACAACCAAAAGATAACTTTCCCCCTATATGTTATTTTATCTACATGTATATCCGTTGTATATGTTGACAATGTTGGAGCCAATATTTGGATTAAGTCACACACCAAGAAAGGGAAGAGCTGGTTGCATTGACCGCTCATGTAAATAAACACCCTATCCATCCCAGTTCTGATAAAATCAATACCGTGTGGTCTAGGCAATACTGCCAATTACTAAAAGTGTGTAACGATTCTAGATCCCTTTGTCGAACTGAAAGATGGTTGGTTCACGGGGGATCGAACCTCCGACATCCAGGCATGCTACCCAGCGTCATCCATACTTTACCACCAAAGTGCATATTGCTGCGTATGAATAATTGTTTGCAATAATTATTTAATAATCTAGATAGATAGATACTTATTACATAAAACACCCTTTTCGGACTGTATGATGAATAAAGAAAGGGGGAAAGCACAAAATATAAACACAAGTTACATACTGAGAATACATGACAGAAAGCCTATATATATATTATGTACTAATACAGCGGTGTATTCGGACTGTAAGTAAGAATACATGACAGAAAGCCTATCTAATATATTATGTACTAATACAGCGGTGTATTCGGACTGTAAGTAAGAAGACATGACAGAAAGCCTATCTAATATATTATGTACTAATACAGCGGTGTATTCGGACTGTAAGTAAGAATACATGACAGAAAGCCTATCTAATATATTATGTACTAATACAGCGGTTTATTCGGACTGTAAGTAAGAATACATGACAGAAAGCCTATACATATATTATGTACTAATACAGCGGTGTATTCGGACTGTAAGTAAGAATACATGACAGAAAGCCTATACATATATTATGTACTAATACAGCGGTGTATTCGGACTGTAAGTAAGAATACATGACAGAAAGCCTATACATATATTATGTACTAATACAGCGGTGTATTCGGACTGTAAGTAAGAATACATGACAGAAAGCCTATCTAATATATTATGTACTAATACAGCGGTGTATTCGGACTGTAAGTAAGGATACATGACAGAAAGCCTATCTAATATATTATGTATTAATAAAGTGGTCTATTCGGACTGTAAGTAATTGATTTAAGCTGACAGAATAACAATTAAATCAACTTTTAAATCTATAGTGTGTAGCCAACGCAACGCTGTATCGGTCTGATTTACTAATTGACGATAAATGATTCCGATCAGGCTGTCTAATACCAGTTTTATTGTCAAACACTTTTAACACACTAGGAAGTTTCACTTTATTCAGGGTATCTTTTAAAGACTCGAATTCCCTTTGAATATCGGCTGTACTGTTTGTGTTTATAATTGGACCGGTGGCACTTGATTCGCACGCGTGCGCATCCCGGCTTATTCTTTCCCTGTACCGGTCGGCTTCGTCATTAAATTCGTCCTACCTGGAATGCTCACATTTTAAAGTTGATATTTTTTGATCGATCGAGGCTTGACTCGTCACTATCTTACTTAGCTGACTAAAAATTCTGTCTAATTTTATCGACAAATTAGTGTGGTATGACATGTCATCAAAACAGCTTCCGTAGGATTTGTACGCTGTCCAAAACTGCCCGAATTCAAATTTTCCGACTTATTGACCCTTTTGGGGGGGGGGGCATTTTTGAAATCGGGACCCCTCTGACCGAGGCCATGGCTATCTCTGCCAATAACGGTTTGATTTTCATGACTTGAAGTTCATTCTGGAATTTTTTCATCATGCCAACCCCACATTATGATACACTTAAAGCGAATGAAAGTAGTTTTCATTACCAATTTCTGCTGTCAAATTCGCAACATGGTAAAATGTTTCATGCAGACACGTTTCGCCAGAAGTCGCCAGAAAAGAAATAAATACAACGCAGTCCACTACATCAGTTATTCATCATCCTCGTTCCCCTGCACATCCCT